ATAAAACGCTAATACGTACGTATGTATGTATCAATAAAACCGATGATATTTCTTTTCTCGCGCTGGCAACAGTTTTCATTTTTAATTGATTGGATTCGGCGCGCAAGAGCACGTAGTGAGCAACGAGATAACAATAACCAGAGTGAGCATTATCAGGTTGTTCAATTCAGATTCATGCACTAAAAAAATGACAATATTTAATTTAAACTCAATTAGGAATTAATTAATTGAAGTGAGAATGCTTTAAAAGGCCGCTGTTGAATTGATATTTCTCTACTGGGAGCTACTTAAACGTCTAAGTGTTTGTATTGAATGCATTGAATTTTTTTTATATTTCGCGTTTATTTATGCATTGAATTTTCACGCTTTAAAATGCAGAATATTAGTGAAGCAATATCTGATAATTTATTTTGCTAATATGTTTCTTATTTAGCTAATGTTTTGATTTTTTCACCATGTACAATCTAAATAGCTAATATACTTTTTTAAAAGCCAATAAGAACATGGGTAGAATTCTTCTACATAAGTACAATACTGTGTCTTTGATGATAAAATACTATGTCTTTGATGATAATATATTATGTCTTTGTGCTAGAACATTGTGTTCATTGGCGAGCGAGCGCAGCGAGCCATGGTTCACGGCGTGAACCACATAGGATTGCGTAGCGATTCTCGGGGGTTGGCGAGCAGGGGGCGGAGCCTCCTAGTTTATAGTAAGCCCCGAGTTATGTCAGGATAATAATAATTGCGAAGTATGCATATCCGCGGTAACTAGGGATTATAAACTAAGTGATTAAGGCATCCCTGCCTGCAAAAAAAATCTCCAATTAAAGCTGAAGTTAGTTGAAACCAAAAGAAATACATCGTCGGCGTGCTTTTTATTCAAGGCATAGCTTGAAATGCGTGTTTAAGAAACTGTGTCTATTTTCTTAAACACTCATTTCGAGCTGTGTAAATATTCTTAAACGCGCATTTCAAGCTGTGTCTAGGATAAAAAAATAACTCATCGATGTCATAACTGCCACCGTTAAAATTACAGTCAATATTTAATTATAAAATTTTACACACAAATTGGCTTAAAATGTAAATGTATTTTTTTATTGTATGGAAAGAAAAACAGAGTTACTAATATCTTCTTTATTTTTACTCAAATGTGAATTTCTTCATTAATACATAATTACACAACAACTATATTATGTACAAGATAAATAATCTACAACATATCAGGATACATACTGATGTAAATCACAGCTTGATGGTAACAGCAGGTAAAAATTTTGATCTGAATTCAACAACATTATACACAACACATTTAATTACTGGAAACAATGGCTATTTTGCATTCTTAATATTTTAAGATTCTTGAAAGCATAATACATGCATAATGCAATGTCTTGAAAGTATATAGAAAAAAAAAAGTTGTTAGATAAAATTAATTTTTTACTTCATCAGTTAAATTTTTTTACCAAATGTAAACACTTGTTAAAGAAATCAAAATTAGACATATAATAATTTAGGAATTTTATCTTCAAAAATATAACATCAAACAACAAAACATTTACCACTTAATTTGCAATTGAATAATGGCTAAAATCAATATAATAAATTATAGTACTCAATAATGACTAATTTATAGCAAAACACAATTTATAAAACTTAAAATATGGGTACTAATCATAAATCCTCTCAAATTTATCAATGTAATAAAACTAATATATGATTATTATAACATACAACCAATTATTTTACGCAAAAAAAAATAATAAATGATTAAAAATAATTCTGAAATTAAATTGTTTAAATTCAATTAAAAGATTTTTAAATAAAATATCAATCATTTTAATTTTATGATAAATATAATATATAATATACTCATAAAATTGAATTTGTATGATTTGAAAAGCAAAAAATTTAATTTATTTTTTTAACAGTTATTTGCAGCTAAGTACAGAGAGTAAAATAAAAAAGGAACATTATAACAACTTTTGATTTAGTGTTCAAATTTTTTTGCAGGATGTACCACATATAGTTTGTCTATGGTAAGAACTCCCCCCGCCACAAAATATGGGGCTTTCTGCTGCTATGGAAACAAGAATAACGCATTTCTCTTCACTTTAGGGACACATCTCTTCACAATGAACCGAGGGAAAAGAATTTCTTTCTCCCGCCGATCCGTTCCAAAACCTGTCCTAAACAGTGACCCCACCTCACGTTATACCTCGTTACCATAGTCAGAGCCACGGATCCAGAAAAATGGAGGGGAGTTCTTACTTTAGACAAACTATATTTAGATTTTTGACTCTCAAAATATGGGGTGCTGACAAAAATTCAAAAATCGTTGTCTTTACACATAAATCAGAACAGTGTAAAGTTTGGGCCACTCACTGAAAATTTCACTTAATGCGTATTGCATAATAAAGTTTTTAAGAACCAATGACCAAAAGTAAATAGCACTAATTAAGCACCATCAATAAAATAAAAAAATAAGATTTGTGAAAAACATGTAAAGGTGATAAAAAATCTAACTATTTTTTTCGGATAAAGATTTCTTAACTATTCTTATGCAGTTACCCTAACTAATAAATCCTAAAAAGTCACGAATGTATTCCCTAAAACTATAGGTACCATTTCAAAAGTACAAAATATTTACGCATCATCAATTCAGGCACAAAATTAAATAGAAATTCATTTTATAGGGATGATGAGTTATAAAAATATAAATTCATTCTTAAAAAATATATTTGTATCCAAGTTACCAAGTAAATACCATATATCCAAAAAATGACCGAGATTGAATAAAAAGAAACAAAAACGCACGTGGAAAGAATCATATGTTATGCTTAGGTAACCAAATACTGACTCTCACTTTCAAGCTTCAAAATTGGTAACAAAATTCTTCAACAGAGAGCGCTGTTAACCAGAAAACTATAAAATGATGTTTTTGTTGCATGTCAGACCATTCCAACTGAAATATTTGCATAAACCTCTGTTCATAGTAAAAACATTGTTTTACAATCTTTCACGTTAAACAGCGCTATCTAATGACATACTTTATAACTAATTTAAACTTTGTGAGAATAATTTTCTCTTTACCCAAGCAAAAAGCAGCGTTTTATCACTTTCCTTTTTTTTTTTTTTTTCCATCTACTAATTTTCCAAATTGTCGGCCATTTTTTGAGCATAACGATTCACAGGATAAATAATGAAGAGGAAAATTTAAATAAAATAAATTATTAATTTCTTTTTTTTTTTTTTTGTTTTAAAACCTACATCTTAAAGAGCAAAGTCTAACATGTTTCTAATTGTATGTCTCTCATTTTGTACATTTATACAAAAAGAATTACAGGACAAAATATATTTAAATGGATCAATGTATTTTTACATTTCAAACATCTCCTAATACTATATGTGGAAGCACTGTTTTTTAAAAAATGCATTCTTGAGCATGCTTTCGTTTTTTTATTAAACTTTATCAAAAAGTTAAATTTGTTTACAGTTTTTAGTTCAATAAGTTTATAAATTATTTAATTTATAAAGAGAAAAGTAATAAAATTTGAAATTAGACTCCGAGAAAAATTATATTTAATTTACCGTCCTTTTAAAAGAATATATATAAATTTTTTATATGAGATATTTTAAGATATGAGAAAAAAGTTTTAGCAGGTAAGCTACTAGCTAAAAATTTGAAAAAAAAAAATGCCAGAACAAACAATTTCTCAAGAAATAATAATTACAAGGAAAAATAAATATTCAAATCATATTAAATAATAAGTTATTATTCACTAAATTTGATAAGAGCACCATTGATTTCATATTTCATTTAAACATTTCACGGAACAATTACAATGCTAATAATAAAAAAAACTTTTAAGATTACTTCACCTAAAATCTTTGATCACTTACTTCATAAAAATATCTTAAATTAATGAAAAACAACTCATATGCGACATTCATTTACAACATGGGAAATCAACTACAGTCGTCTCACTTGATTGAATACCGGGAAATCTTGTTTATATGGATAAAATTTAATGAAACCGAATTATTTATGAAATCAATGTTTAATTTTTTAACTTTAATGAAGATTCAAGGTTGCCTATTCCTGGTTGCCTATATTTAGAATAGCGTTGATGATTATCATCTGCTTAATTTTTAACTTTGATCTAGTTTATAAAATTAAGTGGCTATGGTAATTTTCTTAAGAGCTTGTTCCTTCTTTTTCGTGGCGAAGAAACAAATTGGCTTTGAGTTATTTATTTTTTAGCATTAATATATTCATACTAACTCCATTTTATATCTTCGAGTGTTTCGAGTTTTACTGATGTAAGCTATTATTTTATATTTTTGTAAATAGAACTGTAAAATAAATCATTTTATGTGTTGTAAGTTGTTTATAGAATAATCAAGAACACTGACATGATTAACTAATTCTGATTCGAAGTGCAAAACGGAATAAATAGAATGTAGAATTTAATGGCTCAGAAGCTTCTTAAATCTACCAAACGTAATGTAGTAAAAACAAAGAGTATTAAAACTCAAGTCCAATAAAAGCAAAATAAAAAAGGAAAGAATTAAAGTAAAAAGAGAAAAAGTAACTAGGGTATCTCGGAGACATGGAATCAACATTTACTGACCCTCTTACGGTACATACGAATAATATCGGTAGAACATCTAAAAATGTGTACAAAATTTTTTTTTTCTAATTACCAACGATATATATGCATTAACAAGGGTGTTAAAATGTAAACAACAACTATTAATGGTTATGCACTGTAAAATATGAAAGTGGCATCATGAATAAATTCATAAATATATTACAACCATCAGAAAAAAAAATTATAAATGCAGGTACCTGATTTATAATATGTTTATCATTACGTTTAATATAATAAAAATATGTCTAAAATTACTTTTAATATATAATTTTTACTAATTCAAGTTAAACATTTATTACTATTTTAAAACTAGATATCTAATAAATGCTCGAATCTATATTTAAAAATTTATTTTATCGAAATGCGTTAATTAACCCCCAAGATACACAAAACAAAATCTACATATTTACATATATAACAACAAAATCTACATATCTACATACATAACAACAAAATCTACATATATAAATAACAATGATAATTTAGAGCTAATTTGATTTTTAATAGTCAAACCAATAAATAAGGCTTTTCAAATAAAAATTCAATTGGTTTTGATACCCTTATTTATCCCCTTGCCTCAGTTTGGAATTTTCAATAGGTTTGATTTTATTATTTTTATTTTTGACAAGAAATCAAATGCAGCCATCGTATACTTTGTATTGTAGATCATTGGATATATTATTACATTTTTTTAGTGTTTTCCATTATTGCCAACATTTTTGATTACCATTAATTGATCAGATTTCTGTTCTTTGGCTTGGTAAGAGTTGCTACTCCTGAAATTCAGAATTTACTTTTTTTTTCTTCATTTTTGACAAGAATTGTAAAAATATGCATTTAGGACGATCCTTACAGAACATCGTATATTTAACTAAAATAGCATGACAGAATTATACGAATTCTGTTAATATATGAAAAAAAATTAAAAGTTATGTTTCAGGCTGCTTTCAAAATAATGTTCTGTAGATGCTCTGTAAAGGAATGATATCGTAGATGCATCTTTCTGACTAGACATCATTTTGCACAACTAATTTGTAACACACGAGCAAAGTTACAACAATGATATTTTACATGAAAGTTTCAACAATGGTGCAACATTGTTTCAAGAGAATGAAGAATCCTTCTTTTTCTCTGTCTCACTCTTACCATAAAAAGTTGAAAGTCTCTGAAGCTCGCTTTCCAATGAAGCTTTCTAAAATGATAAACATATTAGAGAAAATATATCAGAGATCCAAAAAAAAAAATTTAAAGATTATAAGCCAATATTAAAGATTACATATTAGCATCCTTATGAGCTTTAGCAGAGAAATTATTTAATAAATATGATTGTAAAATATTGACTCCAATTTTTTCATGCATTATAAGATGTTGATTATTTTATTATTGTTGTGTTGTGACCGATTGTTTAAGATCTAGCTGCAAGCTAGGCCTTATCCATGAGGTCATGAATCCTCAAAAAATTCATAAACAATAGGAGGTGTGGTTAAAAAGTCCTTGTACAAAAGCTCCACGAAGTGGAGAAGATGTTCTAGTCGTGCGTTGGCCTACATTTGGGGCACATGTTACTGTGAATAACCAAAATCAGGAGAATGCTGATTTTCACTGGTGAATGTCAACAATCACATAGTCACCAGGATATTTTAAGAGACACTCGAGTAACTACTAAATGTCCCCATTCATCTGTTAGGTAGGGAGTGATAGAGAAGGTGATAACAGATCTCAGTATATAATGCGCTAAGATGATGTGTTTTTGTTGTTGTTGTTTTAAGTGTTATTTTCAAAGGAGCTGACAAATGCATATATTATACGTGTTAACGTGAATGGCCGAAATCAAGAGAACGTCAAGAATCATATGGTCGCTATGGTGAATGTCCAAAATATTTGCTATATCCGATTTGATATTTATTCATTCGTTGATATTATTATATTTGTTCTATATTTTAATATCTGCTGAGGAATGATTGATTAGGAGAAACATCACTGTTCGGAGTACCGGTTAAATGCATAATGGGCAGTGGCACTGAAACTAAAAAAAAGAACATTGATGTAGGGCATACAAGGCAAATGTATACCGGGCAGTGGCGCTTAACTAGACCTAGTATATATTTTGGACATTTACCAAAGCGATTGTCAACATTCACCGGTGGAAGTCAACAATCACTCATTTTGGCCATTCACAGTAACACAAGATAAGATTTCTGTCCATCAATATATGCAAGGCTACCTATATGACCCCATTTATCCTTATTTAATAGAACTCAAAATGGTTTTAACAAAAGTCCCATGAGAACATATAACAAGGGACCGAGATTGGGCTGTCTACATTTTGTCATGATAGATCTGAATAATTCAGAAAAATTATATATACCTACTTAGAATAAATTAAGGCTGAAAAAATGTAAGCTGAATTGGAAAAACCTATATAGATTGAGCAATAGTTATAAAATATTTAGCGCATATCTGACGATTCAACACAAAATCTGTTTGGGCAAAATACTCTGATTGATAACCATATACCTATTTCTTCCTTTACTTGATCAAGATTTATAAATATTGGTTCTATGATGGCCCAAGTTAGTAAACTTTGATCTATTTTGTGAAGTAAAATTGATTGAGTTGCAACCCCCCCCCACCTATTTAAAGCCAAGCATACTAATTGTATAAAATGTGCTGTCATTCTCATTGAAATAAGCTTCATTTATTTAAATTACATTTATTTAAATTACATTTACATTACATTTAAAAAAAATTTCGTGCTCGAAAAATGACATTTTATTTAAAAATAAAATTGTGCATCTATGCACTAATGAGCAATTCATTGAATAAATCATTTATATTATTTAGAGGCTTTGCCCTTCATTATTTATAGAACTTGCATCTTTAATAGATCATAAAGACATATGGTTAATCTTAAATGGAATAATTATACATTTCAAATTAAGGAACTAGTAAAGTTTCTCAACAGAAAGTGCTAACTCCAATTGAATTACTAACGTTTCATAGATGTCTTCAGAACCCTTCACAATAACAACAATAAAATAAATAAAATTAGTGAAAAATATATGTCGCAGTGTTAATAAAAAAAAAATTTCTGCACCTTTGGCCAGAAATGGATTAAAACAGCTTTAAGAAAATTTTTGAAGTATCACAAGTTGTAACATAGAGAAAAAATTCAAAATTTTTAATTATTAAGAGAAAGTACTATACCTCCTTTGATCCTCTAACAACTATAGAAAATGATCAATACGTTGAATGGCAAAATATAGAAAGTGATAAAATTTGGCTAATTTTTCAATGTGGAAAAAAATACAGATCAAAATGTGACTTTCTATGTATCTGACTATCAAAGGAGTAAAACCATTTACAAAAAATCAAGTTTCAAGATACAGTGAAACCCCATGTTATGGACACTCCTACAAAAAGGATGCCTCTCATTACGGACATGTTTTCAATTCTCTGTAAATCTTCTATGAATAAACCCTTGTGTAACTTCTCAATAAGGCGGACGCTTCCGTAACCTGAAGCGGACAGTCATTTATGCTCTGAAACGCAATTTTTCACCCCTTCATCAATGCTTAAGAATTTGAAGAAGAAAATAATTTCCACTTTAAACTCTAAGGAAAACTATGCAATTTTCCACCATTTTTAAAGCACATAAATTTTTGCTTCATACTCAATTAAAAATATTGTTAAGTTATTTCACTACTAAAGAATTTTGTCACTTTCCTTTGTCTTTACAAAGAAAGGAGAGAAAATGTTGCTGCTCCTGTGAAATATTTCAGACAGCAGCATCTCTTGATCTTTTCATGCGAACAATACTGGCTATGAGACCTTATATGCTCTCAATTCCTTGTCGTACCCACTGAAAATTCTTTTTGACTTCTAATCGATTTGGAGACTGTAGTTTACACAGCTGGGTTAAAAAGAGAGAGCAGAAATCTAGTCATTGAGGTGTTCATACATTTACTCAAACATTTGACAGATGATCAATAGTGAGTGATGAAGATCTCCATAGGCTCCGGAAGCTTGCATTGCTGCTTCTTTTTTTTCATCATGGGAATCTTCAAGAATGTATCACCATGTTTCCTATCAAGTGATTGGAAGGTATTAGGCTGGGGGTAAACCATCTGAGGAAGTGACATATGACTAATTTGAATGTGTGTTTAAATAGAAAAACTTTATTTCTTATTAGTGACATTTAAAATGATGTATAAATATCAAACTTTTTCATATATATTTTTTTTGTATTGAAAAAAGTATTTTTTAAAGTTTAAATAAATAGTTATTGTAGATTATTTAAATATTTATATATCATTACAACATCTCTAAAAACAATTTGCGATGTAAAAAGTCATTATTCTCGTACCAGACAACTCTCGTAATAGGACAATTTTTTCGGTCCAATCAGTGTCCATTTAACAGAGGTTTCACTGTGATTACAAATATAATTTAATAAAATTTCATCATACTTTAGCCATTGTTTTTTCTCTCACGTGGGGAGAAGCTTTTTTCTTGTAGCCACTGTCAGACAACATTTTGTTCAGCTTGTCAAGTTCTTTACGGATCTTGCTCAATTTGTCAACAGTATTACTTTTAATGTCCACTTTTTCCTGTTGATCAAGAAAAGTTTTTTTTAATGCAATAATGTTAAAAGTTTGAAAAATCATGAAAAAGAAAGAAAAAAAACATAGAAAAAAAATGAACTTTAATTCAAACTATAAGGGAACATAAGACCTAATCAATTGCATAGCATGAAAGAAATATTTGGGGTGCACATAATGTTTCTTTTAAAATATAGTTGGTTTTTAAAATTGATCGTACACCATGTATTTCATGATATAAATATATTGAAAGAATTGTATCCATCCTAGTTCATATTTATAATTAAGCTCAATCAGATGCCCTTAGAATCTAAAAAAACTAACAATTTCACTGTGCCTATTAATCTGGCACTTTTTTTATTTTTTATACATTACTTTCAAGTCCAGTGCCAAATCTTTGAAAGTTTTTTGATAATCAAATAAAATAGTTTAGAGCACATTATATGGAAACATGCCAAAACATTGTACAGTGCATTTAAAATTGGTTAATAATAAAAATACAATATTTGACATAAAATGGAATTTATAATGAATTGCCTCACATTTGATCTGAGTCAGAATATTAATTAGTTCAAAACAGGATGTTAGTTCACAAAATAAATTAAAAAGGAGCTAAAAACTTTTAAAAACAGTAAGAAAAACTGTCTTTAAAAATTATTAGACAATGCTAAAGAATAAATACAATTTAAAATTGCACTGTGTTTAAAATATACTAAATAGCTACTAACTACAATTATAAACTAAAAATAATACATAAATTTTGCTGCATTGAAATTTTTGAGTTTGAATTGCAAGAAAACTGTTTAAAAAAATTATTTAAAAATTTTTATTATAAATCAAAATTTTATTATGAACTATTAATCAACATTTTAATAACATTATAATAATTTTACTATTAATCAACGAATCAACTTATTGAATCAATTTTAAAAAATTTTATTATTAATCTTTTGCTTATGGCTGATACCACATATCGACTAACATAACAGCCTCCACCCTGCTGAGTGCTGTAAACAATAGGTTAAATAGTGTTTAAAATACCACTTAAACAAAACTGATAATCATAATGTTATTTGGTTAAAACATTTATAAACTATCTAAAATTATCAGTTATTTAAATTTTTTTTTTAAAACTTTTCCAGAAAAAATTCTGAAGTTAGGGAAAATTATTGAAGGAGTGCTTGTCCCTTCATGTCTCCCTGACATTTTGCCTATGAACATACTTATACGAGGGAAATCTAAACATCTGAATAATTTAAACCCTCTCCTGAACTGAGTAATGACCTCATTTTTTCCCCTACAAAATAAACTTATATCTGCCTTCTACTAGCTGAACAGTACTTGTCCTGGAAATTTTCGTACAATTCACAATAATATATACAGAAAAACAAAAATATGTGAAATCAACTAGAAAAATTGATGTTACAAAAAAAAAAACTCACAAAACAAGAAAAATATCTTAGACTTAATAACACCATACATTTATTCTTTAGACAATATTTTAAATAACTTTTGATCTAATGATATTTACAAAACTTTGAAATTTTATAAAGTTAATAAATGGTGACTTTGTAGCAAATTAAAAACCCTACATTAAAAAACCTAATTTTTCCTAAAAAGTAAAACAGCAATGCTGATTTAAATTCAAAAGATCTGACAAATTATACATTTTTAACTTAATAAAAAATCCATTTGAAAACCAATAACAAAAAGTACACAAAGAAACGATGCAACCATAAACAAATTGTAATTGTTGTTTAATCACATTCAGCTTTGTTTAAAAATGTTTGATAAGTTTATGAAAAAAGAAAATTGAATTAAATTACATAATTAAACATTAATATATGATAAAAGACACACTTAAGAATCAACAAACTTAATAAAGTTAGTAATTAATTAATCATTTTAGTATTAATAGTGAGAATGATACAATTACGGGAATGTTCAAGCAATACAATCTACTAGTATTAATAATGATTCTGAAACCATCTAAACAATAAACAAATCATGTTTTACTAATGAAACAAAGAAATTTTTTGTCATAGATTTTCGAAATTAAATTCAATAGTTCCTCATCTGATGGTGATGTTAACTAAAAAAAACTGTAAATATTGTCAAAATAGCAACAATTTGCATAAACAATGTGGTGCTGCCAGAAGAAAAAATATAACATAGGACTCCGTCATTAATATTTTTGTTTAAATGGGCTGATAAGCACCAGAAAAACACTGTTGCAAACTTTTTAGCTCCATCTGTTGATCAACTTTGACACTAATTTTAAAATTTGGGCAAAATAAAATAACTGGTTTCTTTAGCAGAACAGAAAAAAAAATTTATGTTATTAAATTTTTAAATTTTCAGAAATGTTTGGCATTTACTTTAGTACGCAGTTCTTGTTAAATAACTTAAAATGAGTTCAATGTTTCAAACATTCTAATACAAACCCCAATATCCATTAGAAGCGTGATGCCATGATCACATGTTTGGCACACCCATGTATCCTGTGATGGCTGACTAATGAATTCCTCTTTTGATAGATGAAACGTCACAGATTCCAGTTTGGCGAGAGTAGTAATGAAACTGCCAAAAGGACTCAATGCATTCAGGGTATTTTCTTCATTTGTTGTAATCACCACTAAAATAGTCAATATTAGAACAACATTTCAAATAAAGGAGTTAAAATTAAATAATGAAGTCTCAGATTTAAAAGTAAGAGACTTTTGTTCAGTATCGAAAACAACAAAGGGAATTAAGGTAAAATAAAAAGAAAGAATTTAAAAAAAATTTAAATAAATATTTTTCAAGTGGACCTAAAAAAAATTATTTTATTTCTGTCACACCTAAAATAAAACAAGTAGAGTACATTACTTTTGAAAGGCATTTGGAAAATGTTTGAAGTAAACAATGAAAATAATGCAGAATGAGATTTTTGTTTTAGAATCTAAAAAAAAGTTATTTATATAATATTATAAAATAGAATTATTTTCTCCTTTTTAGTCCACCTGATATCGTGTTTTTCATTATTTTATAATTGTCTCCTTTTTAGTTCATTTAAAAATGTAGTTTTCACTACTTTATAATTTGCTAATTTTTGGTTTTATGTCTAGTTTGGTTTGATTGTTTTTATTTATGTCAGCGGTTAAAATTTTATTGATGATAAAGAAATAAATCTTGAGAACAAAATTTAGTAAACATTTGAACCACAGAACTCCTGTTGATGTTCGAGCATAGTAGTTAGTCAGAAAAAGGTCGACATTTTGGCTGGCAAAAAAAAAAATTATTGCGCTTGTATATTGAGGATACATTCTCATTGAAAAAAACCAAGAAGAAATTGCATCTAGGATAGTCATATAACACAAAGCTTCAGTTAAAATTTAATAGTTCTAGCTATTTGGGTAGTAATCAGATTTTTGAATGATGATTCATAGCCACAAGCAAGATGAATTATGTTTGGTTCTGTTTTGGAAATAGTTGAAACTTACAGAAACAGAGCTACAATAGATATCTAGGAACAATTTTGTAAAAAAAAAAAAAACTATACCGTAAACCATTAGGTACCAAGTTACCCATTATGGAAATCTGTGCGTATTTTTACAGAGAAAGAGTTATGCAATTCAATTACTTGGTTTTTAGAATTTATTTTAATGAGATAGAATTTCAATTACATAACAATTTATTAATAAAATGTTCAACCTCCCTAAAATCAAGGAAATACAATTTTTTCTAAAATATAAAGAGATAGCTAACATTATTAAACATCCAATTAGTTTAAGCTAAAGTGTAACCTACCATTATTTTCATAAAGACACTTTTAGTATCAATACAAAAAGGTGAAATGCGTAAATAACTAAGAAAACTTGGGTGACATCAACAAATAAATTATGAACGCAGATTAAAAAATAATGAATGATAAAAAAAAACAATATGTAGGAAAAAGGCAAATAATTTGCAAACAGTGAATAAAGGAAATTAAATAACTGATTTTGTTAATAAATACTTACATTTAAAAATAATATTATTATCTTTATATGTAAGTATTTATTTACAAAATCAGTTATAAAATATTATTAAACTAACTTAAAATAAATAAAATTAAGTGTACTTATATAATTATTTAATGATTTTTATTATTTCAGCTAGCATTAATGCTTAGAATTGGAAAAACATATCTGACCATGGATCTATCAGCCAGCATGTTATTTTACTTCATTTTATAACCCTCGTTGAGCAGCTGACCTGATTTTTGGGTTTACGCACCACAGCCTTGTAATTTTGAACCCAATCCAGAAGACAAGGGAATTCTTGGATTAAGTATCGGGAGAAATTTGCCTTTGTGGAGGACTTTTGGATGGAACTAACCTACAGATGCGTTACAAGGAGAAGAAACCATGAATATCTCCCACGGTTAGTCGGATGACAAGGGGACTCTAACCCATGATCTGTCTGCCGCTGAGGATATTTTATGTCAGCACTGTGGTCGATGCAAGCCGGATGTGGAATTCGTATCGACCAGCCATCGCTGGGATTCGAACCCGGTTCACCTCATAGGAAGGCAAATGCTCCCTACCCTGAGCCAGCATGTTATGGAACAGTCACATAATGACTTTTTGCTTTTGAATTTCGTTACAATTTTCAGGCGCTGTGGCAATGTGAACTGTGGAATTTATAGACCCTTTTGTTTGACAAAATAATATAAATTTTATCATAATAATAATTATACAATTCTACATAAAGTAAGAATTATCATTCAAATTAATTTTAAAAAAATTCATCACTGACCAGCAGGAGTCATTTTTGTAACTGCGTGTCGAGATTTCAGGGATCTGCATCCTTCTATCAAATCAATAACTGTCAGGACATTTGCTTCCAAAACAGTATTTCGCCATCCTGCAAACTGCATTTGAAAGAAAATATTAGAAAAAATACAATTAAATAAAAACCTTTATTTTGAAAACAAAAAATAGATTTTTTTAATGCTACAAGAGCTGAAACAACTCAACTCTACCTCATCCAAATTTGGATAGGAAGCTGTTGTGACACTGAAGTTTGGCTTAATGCTAGTAATTGCAGCTAATCTTTGATAAAGTTCTTCAGATAAGAAGGGCATCATGGGGGAAATAACCTTCAAAAATGTCTCAATGCAAGTCAGCATTACACGGCATAAGAAGAGGCGACGCTCATCATTTTCTTGTAAAACTGACTTCACATATTCCTAGAATAGAAAAGACATTCATATTATTACTTAAATGAATATTTAGTTTAAAAGGACATTTTTGGACAGAAAAATTTTTTTTTTTACTTACATCAGTTTTTTTAAGTAAATTTAAACACTTTTTACTCAAAACGAAATTCACAATCAGTTAGTTACAAAATTAAACATGGGTCTATTTATTTTTTTAAAAAAAATTACATAAATCACTATTTTTTCATTTATAACTCAAAAAATTTTTATGAACTTGACAAATGGAGAGTTATTTCAAATGATTAGTATAAAAAATAATTAAACAGGGGCCTATTGAATTTTTTATTTAAAAAAATTACGTAAATCATTATTTTTTCACTTATAACCCTAACAATTTTTTTAAAAAAGTGTTATGTGTAACATCTCTTCATAAAACAAAATCTGGCATAAAAAGCTTACACGGTCTGCTTTGAATTGACTTTTTTTAAAATAGCAGAAGGAATATAATTCTAAAATTTCTGCTTTAGATAGGAAAAAAAAAATTGGGAAAAAATGTCAACCAGTTTAGTTATTTTACATGAAAATAAAAGCTAAGGAAAAATTTTAACTAAAATGATTAAAAAATAGAATGACTACAGGGTCGGAAAACTAAAAAATTAGAATACTTAAAGAAAAAAAATGGCAATTTACGAATTTGAAAACTCTTTATTTTCCATGATAACCTATACAATATTTTTTTACAAAAAAATCTGCAAGTTATAAACACCTTTCAAAATAAATTTACAAAACATTAGAAATGAAAATATTTTCATTTTCTGTAATCGAAATATATAGATGAACAACACATCTACATACATCTAACACTATATATAATCTGTACACATTTAACACCACCATATCTATATAATTTACATACATCTAATATATCGATATACATCTAAAACCAAATGGTTTATTGTAAAAATAAGCAAGGAAATTTCTAAAATTTTTAAAGCGATACAGTTGGTAAACCTTTGTTGCATTAATATACATAAGTTCAAAAAATGTGTAAAAAAAAACAATAGAAACATGCCAATGTTGATTGCCTAATATGAAAATCTTATTTATTAGGCAAATTTCATCTCAATAAAATACTTGCTATTTATATAATAAACTATAAAGACATAAAAATGAGGAAACAGTTACAGTTCTATTGAAATAAGCAATAAAAACAATCCAATTTAAAATAATTATTTTTTCCAGTTACTTACTATATAGACATCACAAAATCCTTGAACCCAAAACTGCCTTATTGCGCTTGCCACAACATGAAAATTATAGGACTCAAAATTAGAATTGGCAACATAAACTAATCCAGCTAAACGACTCAGAATCCAACGATCAATATCAGATTCTTTCAAGCTATGCACCTAGAAACAAATATAGGAAATATGATCATTTATGTTTAAAAACAATTTAAATAAAAAATAAATTTTAAATGAGACTCGTTTTTAAGTTGAACGTTTAATTAAAAATTTTGGGAAAAGTTGTACTATCAGTGAACTTAAAATCAAACAGGCCTAAAGCCATGGTGGCTCAGGAGGACACTATACTATGGGAGAAACTTTTCATCGCAAATTCTCTTTCACTTCCATAAATAATTTAAATCATAGAAAAATGAGTACTCGGTGAACCTAGAGTAAACCATAAAGTTCCAAATACTGAAAAGAAATTTTTAAGTATCAAAATTAAAACAAATTATGAGACAATAACTTAGGACTTAAGCAATGGGGAAGTTTACATTCAATAATTTGTTTGCACTTTTATATTTTTGATTTTTTTTCTCTGTAATTGAAATTTCTTGGCTTGTTCTAGGTTTAGCTGAACTAACTTTTTCTCTACTATAAATTAAAAATTAGTAATACAAGTGAAACAGAATTTGGGATGAAAAGTTCCGTCCACAGTATAGCATCCTCTGAAGGAATAGATCACTCGCTACCCAGTGAAGTGATCCAGGTTTGAATCCCAGAGATGGCTGATCAATGCAAATTGTGTTCCTGTCTGGCACTGACCACAGTTCTGACATAAAAATATCCAAGTGATATATTGATCATGGATGAAAATACTCTGGCGGTAGGGCTAACTAGGTGAAATTTTCGTCGCTTTCCTATCTATGTAATGCAAATGCAAGTTAATTCAATCAAAAAGTCCTGCACAAAGATCGCTTTGTCTTAATGCTTGATCCAGAAGTTCTCTTGTCTTACGAGTTAGGTTCACAATTACAAGACTACGGAGTAGAACATTGATAAAGACAAAAATGGGTTGGCTATACAATGCTGGTTATATAAAATATAATAGAGATCTCATCCTTCACAAACAAAATCAACTCTGTGATGACTTTTAATCATTATTTAATTTTTTCATCAAACAGATAGTTAATATTTCTTCTTAGATATATTTTCGATAGATGTAATGAAGTAAGATGTGTGTTCTTTTTGTTGGCACAGTAATATAACGACTATTATAATTAAAAGGAAAGGGAGGAATCACTTGAGAATGGAGGGAATTTCCAGTGGTGATAGAAATTTAGTACATGATACGCATTATGTAATTCACTTTAAATCTAAAAAAATATATTTATTTTCTCTTTTTTAATCAACTTAAAATTTGTCTCATTTTATTATTCAATAACATATATATTCACTTCCTACAATGAGGAATATAAATAATAATGTTAAATATATTGTGTCCAGATGCCTGAAACATGAAGCACTAAATTTAATATTATTTAATTGTGAGTTATAAAGCCAGCTTTCCTTTTATAGTAAGAAAAAATTTAATTACATTAGTGAAAAACCACAAAAAATTAGATCAAATAAATTTTGTAAGCAAAAAAATCTTTGTATTATGTACTGTTCTGTATGTACTATACAGAATCAGATTGAATTCTAACTATAAAATACTTACCTCTTCTGAAGACAGGGGAGTTAAGTGCTCTTTGGGACATTCTTCAATTGCTTTTGTAAACAATCTAAAGCCTTGCCAAATTTTGTTGCAAAAATGTCGACATATTCTAATACTTTTAACATCAATATTGATGCGTTGATCTTTAAGGAAAAAAAAAACAATTGAATAAAACATAAGTATATTACAAATTATAAATGTATAAAAACAGATTCAATTGAGTCGCTCAGAAGCCAATGCAGTTAAGTCCAAAACACAACAATTGAGAAAATTAATGTTTTTTGATACATTAGTTTTTAAAATTCCTGGTTTATTAATTTAATTAGAAAAGTATATAAACTCTTTTTACGAGGTGTAAACTCTGCAAAAAAACAAGATATGTACAGGATGTGTAAATAAAAACGTAAGTATTTATTGAAATAATGGCAGCATCTTAAAAATTTTAGGACTTATACCTTTTGGCAGTTGAAAAAGATAAGAAATTTATGTCTTCTAGTATAAACGAACTTTGATTTTTCTCAATCATCACTAGATACAGTGACTAATAGAAAATAAACTGTTGGATTATTTCAAAAATTGTTTTTTACTTCAAAACTAAAGTGGCACTTTTCTTTGTTTCAGGAAATGAAAAAAAAATTTTAAAAAAATAAAAAATACCACATTTTAAAAAAATACTACAAAAAATACCATACCCCTTTTTTTGGTTAAAAAAATACTACCGTAGTATTAAAAGTACTACGTCTGGCAACCCTGGTTACTATGAATTTCTTGTTTTTCAGTGTTACCAACAAATATCGAAAGAAGAAGAATAATTTAATTTTTATTTCAAAGTTTATGCAAAAAAATATTGATAAAAGGTGGACTTATTCACAATGGCTTCTGAAATTATTATATAATATATTCAGAAGCTATTAAAAAAATTGCTGTCTAACCTAGAAAAAAGTAACTAACGAGTAAATCCTTTAGTAACTAAGAAGATTATTATTTATTTCATCAAAATTTCCAAAAATCAGAAAATATCAAAAAATGGACTTAACCGCATTGGCTTCTGAGTGGCTCAATTAATAGTCAGAACCATCCACATCAGTAATGGATAGGGTAAGGGATCACAAAAAAGCAAAAGTTGAAATCTTTCGAAATAGGGTAAAAATAATGGTCACCACTGGTCACAGACATAGGCATAACGTGTGGGCCCACTTTTTGTTTTTAGAAAGCCGTTCGTTTATTTTAATTTTCATACAGCGAAACATCCAGGAAAAACCTCCTCTATTTATGGCCACTTTTGGGAGGTACAGAATTTTTTCCACAGGCTTTGTGTCGAAGAAACCCCTTAGGAGAGACCATCAAAACCTCTGCTAGCAACCAGGGCACTAAAAACGATGATTTATTTTTAGAGTTGAAAGTTAATTTAGAAAAAAAAAGTCATGGAATACAAACCAGATGATGTTTCCGAATTTTTAAATTTGTAGCTTTATGATATGTTTTAAAAGTTTTTATTGTGTGATATTTTTGAAATACTCTTGAATAAATTATCTTATAAATAAATTTTTTTTAAAATTTTTTTAAGTAAATTTAAAGTACTGTTTGTAAAGAATAAAACTTTTATATGTAAGAAAAATATGATGAGAGAAAATAAAATTAATGGCGTATAACATATTAAAAATAGTTTTTAAAGTGGTAAACTGATACAGAATTATTCAACTCTATTTCATAGCTTATAACATATTTCACGATCAGCAAATGTACGACTTTATTACCGACGTATAAGTCACCCCTCAGATTTTCTTAACATTTTGGGAGTTTGGAAAAGTCAACTTATATAACTGGATATACAGTAATTTTTTATGGCATAATATAGTAAATAAAAACAATTTAGATTTTAAAGAATAAAAAGGTAAATTACTGAAGATTATCAATTAAATTTTTAATTTAATTTAGTTAATTTTAATTTTAATTAATTTTTTAATTATAAAATAATAATAAAAACTGCACAAAAGATTTATGACTTTGAATATCACGTAAAAATAAGGAAAAATGTATAGACTATGAAGACAAAAAGTAGGCTGATTATCATTCATTAATTATTTATTCATTTTAGATCAAATAATAGCAACCAGTGCACACAGATAGAATTGACTTTAAATATCATAAAATAAGAAGAAACAATTTAGGTTTCAAGGAATAAACGATTGAACTATACTTTATATAATATTTTTTTGTTTATTTTCGATAAAATAATCACAACAATAATGCACAACACATTTAAAAAACTTTGAATGTTATAAAAAAATATGCAAAAACAATTTTTGAACCAGCATTTATAATTAAATTATCTACTAATGAAGAATATCACATCTTTATAATAAATAATTTTAAAAAAAACTTACTTCATACAAGAATCTGTGATTGGGTTTTAAAATTGAGTAAATATGAAGTGTGATATTAGATTTTAAAAAAATCATGTGATTATGAATCGCTATTTTGGATTTCAAAATCACTTGAATATGAATTGCGATATTGTATTTGAAAACAGCAAAAATAAAAATTACAAAATTGAGTTTTAAATGGCGTAAATAGGAATCACGAAGCATAGTTTCTAGATTGTTGGAATGAATCGCAAGCATAGTTTTCAAATCACTTATGAACACGAAAATCGGTAAATATGTATACTGTGAATATATATAGCAATTTTAGATTCTTAAATGCATGAATATGAATGGCGAAATTTTATTTTAAACTTACGAAAACATGAATTGTGACATTGGGTTTTAAAAACGCGTAAATACAAATCAAGATGAATAGGAATCGCGATGAACGATTTTTAAATAGCGTAAATACAAATCGCAATGCATTACTTTTGAATTGGATAAATACAAAAAACGATGTTTTATATTACCATCCCGTGAATAGGAATCGGGATATTAGCAGATTCTGGCACTGTTCCAAATATTCAAACGGGCGAAAATTCGCCAAACTAAAAATATTAAATTGGCGTTAGAATCCCGTGCATGTAAATGTCTCGTTAAAGGGATTTTGCAAAAATTCCAATACTTGGTCGGAAGCCGTGGTAGCTCAAGGGATAGAGCGTTCGCCTTCCAATGAGATGAATCGGGTCGAAACCCAGCAATGGCTGATCAATACGAATTCTGCATCCGGCTCGCACCAACCACAATGCTAATGTAAAATATCCTCCGTGGTAGACAGTTCCCTTGCCTTTAGGCTAACTGTAGGAGGTTTTCGTGGCTTTTCTCTCCAAGGAACACAAATGCGAGTTAGTTCCATCAAAAAAAAAGTCCTCCACAAAGACAAATATCTCCAAATACTTGATTCAGAAGTTCTCTTGTCTTCTAGATTGGTTTCAAAGTTACAGAGTTGAACATTAGTAATCGCAAACCCAAAAAATTAGGTCAGCAGTTCAACGATGGTTATAAAATAATTATTTGGATTATAAGTGTTTGATTCGCGGAGGTCTACGAAACAATGGTCTTGAGATAAGCAGAATTCTGCGATATTTGAGCAAAAATCACATGCCCTACTTTAGTTTTTAGACCTGGAAAAATAATAAGAAAAACCTGAAATACAGTCACCCCTGGATTTAGACTTCTAAGAATGATAAACCAAACTACTTTATACATCTTTTGTTAAATTTCAAATAAATAGTTGATAAATGATTTTCATTAAATAATAACAGATACAACTAACTTTGAATGTCATGTGATAGCAAGGAAAAACGTAAACCATCTGTTCCACATTCTGGAATTCCATTAGGGAAATGCTGTTTGTATCCACTCACAACAGACTTCAATTCTTCTGGAGATAAACTATCTTGATTATTTTGAACTCTTTGCAGAAGATCCTAAAAATATGTGACTAAGTATTTATTTTAAACAAAGACTAAAATCCAGTTTGAAAGAAATAAAACTTGAAAAAATTATTTGTGTGGTTGACTTTATAAATTAGATGAAATTAACAGTAAAAAGAATTCAATATTTTTAACAAAAAAATTGTTTATAGCACACATTTAAATATTTAATTATTTTACATTTGCTGTCTCAAATAAATTCAATAAAGAACATTTTGTGGTAATTCAAAATGGTCTTGAATAAGAATTTGACTTACAGTACATATAAGGGAACAATTGAGACACATTTATTCCTGTTTGTTATTCTAAAACAATTTTTTTCGAAATTTGTACATGTAACATTCAATTTTGTATCCCTTTTTTGATAGCAAATATTCAAGCTAAGAAATATTAAAAAATAATCAAATATTTGCAATTTTGTAATTCTTTAATGCTTGTTTATTTCCTCTAAAAAAATTAAGTACATCAAAAATATGTTCTCTTCTTTTGAAATTACATCAATGCTTCACGAGTGTGCAACGTGCATGCGAAAATGTGACCAAAGTGATTAAATATCAATTTTTCCTAATAGCTAATTTAATTATTAGTCACTTGGGATTCTAAATACATAAATTCTGTTAACTCAGAGTCATTTGTACAATTCGAAAAATTTGTTGTGTTAAAACCGTGTCTCTTTTCTAAATTAACATTAAAAGTAGTTGACAGGAATTGATACAAACTAATGTTTTTTTGTATTGTACTACTCACTACACTACTTTTTTTTAAAAAACTAGTACCCTACACTACAAACAACAAAAAAAAGTAGCAACTACAGTAGTTTCACTACTTATTGTGCACTACATTTGACCACTGCTTTCAAGCACAATAGATTCAAAGCATCAAACGATTTGAATACCTCTAAAGAGACACCATAAATGACATCCAAAGGGTCGATAGTGTTGCCAAGAGATTTTGTCATCTTTCTTCCCTGTGAATCACAGACCATCCCATGCAAGAGAACCTACACAATCAAAATAACAATCAGGAAAGTATTGGATCAAACTTCATTGTTTACAAACAAAAAGAGTTCCTTTATCCTTCATAATAGGTAAATTTGTTTTTATACATATTTATATCAGTTGGGATAATTTTTAGAGAAGTTAAATTTTATTCATAGATCCATCTTTCCATGATGTCAGCAAAAGAGGCATTTCTACTTCAAGAAAGTGACACTGGCTAAAAATAAAATCGTTTGTATAAATCATGTACCTACGATAGGAGCGTACAGCTTTTTTGAGTGAAGGGTCACTTGCACAGCACGTAGATCAACGAAGTGCTGCACACATATTTAGTCATATTCGCGGTAAATATGATAATTTTTACCTAAACATTAGAGTTCTAAGCACCAAATATTTTATCAGTAAACTTTATAACATAATTGCAGAAAATTAAATACTTTTAATTATTTGCATTTATTTAAAACTCAAAAAAATTATGCATTTAAATATATATANTAAATATATATATATATATATATATAAATTAGGAAGGGAGATAAAAATTCTGACTAAAAAGAAGCTTACAGAATGAAAGTTCAAAAATAAAATATTCATTTTATACAGTAATATAAATTTGAATTAAATATTTTCATTCATAATTTAAATAATTTTAATTAAAAAAAATTTATAATGTTTAAACAAAGACCAAATCTTACTATATATAAAATTCTAATGATGGTGTCGCAGTTTTCCATTGTTGTCGGCGCATTTTTATTGGCCGGAAAATCACGTGGTAGGATCCAGTTTTCCCCCATTCATTTCTATATTGTTTAGGTTGTCATCAGCATAAAATTAACAAAAGTCGTAAAGGTATTGTTTTCCTTAAAATATTTTTGTATCCCTAATTTAAAGTTATTTTCCAGTAATATATTAGCGAAAATTTTAAATTATGGTTCAGAACTCATCAAATTTGTTTGAACAATATAATGCATTAAGAATATAAAGGTTATTTAAAAAAATGATAATTAAAAAAATCACTTCTGTTCACCAAGAGATCTAAATGTTTATAATACTAATAGACAGTAATATAAGGCGCAAGAGCGTAAGTAAACAGAATTCCTTTTAGTACATAAGATGTTAAGTGAATATTTTTAACTTCAGTAGAAAAACTGGGGTAGACTATACTTGAGGGTGCCCCCGCCAAGTTGTGATCGCGATTGATTGCCAAGCTAGGCGATGTTGAAAACCAATCGTGATTCTGATTGGTTTAGATTTTAATCGTGATTCTGATTAGTTTAGAATTTAGCGTTGTTTTTAAATGAATTTTTAAATGTAATTTCAAAGATCCGTTAGTTCTACTTTGGATACCAGCTGGTAAGGTTATTTTTGCTTCTGGTACTAAAAATGAATACTGTCAATAAGATAAATCTTAAGTTTCTGTACGATTTTAATAACAATGAAAAAAAACAGTGATTGACTGGTGTATGAAGGAAGGTTTAGCTAGTAATAGATACAAATGTCCTGTTTGTGGGTTACCACGGCATTATGGGCAAACAAGTATGGTGCCAAACATAAGTTGCCAATTTCGCCAAGGGGCACCCTCAAGTATATTTTTCCCGAAAAACTGTTTTCTGCCAAGGAAAAACAATTATTGCGAAGCAATCATTGGGGTTGGTGAGCGGTAGCGAACAGGGGGCTTTGCCCCCTAGTTAAAAGAAATTCTTTTATTGTATTCAGAAGTTTCCGTGAGCCACACATCAACAGTCGGCAGGCTGGCATGTGGCCCTCAGGACATAGGTTGTGCATGTCTAACCTTACAAATGTGGGTTACACTTTTGCCTTACGAAGAACTATTTTCATGCATACTGAACTTGATACAATATGTTTAGCATACTTATGACGCTATAAATGTGCAACACACTATAAATTTAATATTTACAGCAATAAAGTGCTTTCACAAACACAGGACTTCTTATTTTTGAGTCTTTATTAAAAATTTCAAATAAAAACAATTTATGATAAAATAGTGAATTCAAAAAATAAAAAATTTAAAAATATACAGAGCTCTTGTTTTTTAAACCAAACCAAGGCTGAGTTTTAAATGTCAAAAACTGGTTAACGCTTCAAAAAATTGTCAAAAAAAACCGAGACTAACAGTCATGATATTCATGTAATTTCATAATGTATTTAAAACATCCATTTAAAATGCAGATATACAAATAAATTACATGCTAATACATAACTAACATATCATTAACAGTAATTTTATTTAAGTAGAAATTTGAGCACAAGAAACAAATTTTCTTTTTATCTTCTGTTATCTTTGGAGGTCTCATTTTATTTGAGAGCTCTCATATTCCTAAGGACTTCTAAAATAAAGTTTACAAAATAATGCTCTTTAAATTTTAAAGTTACAACAAAACTGCATTAAATTCAAATCACAACGTAAGATTATACAATAAACAGAATAGACAAAAGAATATAAATTGCTACAGAAAGCATAAATTTTAATATAATGTGCAAGTTTTTGAAACAGAGCACATGATATGAGGGTTTTATCAGTGGATAAAATCATCAAAAACTGGTACATGTCAAAAGCTCCGTGCTTTTAACATCTATACTGATTTTCAATGTCTACACACTCGAAATAAAACAGACAGTAAGTAAAAAAAAAGACAGTACAACTCATAATGGCGTTAACATACCTCATGAAAAGGGAGTTTTCCAGAGATGTGGTGACACAGCATAACCATTCTTGCCACCCAAAAGAATAATATATCAAATCCAGTCTCCATTAAATTTAAGGGATACAACTTCTGAAGCTGGCTCTCCTATAACACATGATATAAATGGATTTACTATAACAAAAATAACAATTTCTACTAAACAAACAGATTGTTGAATCAGTTCATCAAAGATAGAGGAACAAGTACAACAAATACTCAATTTCACGCAACTTGAGGAGGGTACTAGTTTTGTACTTTTCTAATCAATCATAATAATAAAATTCAGCACTCTATTTTTTCCGAACTGCAATAATTTATACAAGAAGCTATTTTTACGCAATAAAATAAAATTTTAACAAAAAGTAATTGCGATATATGCTAGGAATATTTATTTCACGCCTCATTATAGGCATATTAGTGTTACTTTTAGTTTGATTTTAATATTTCCTGAGTTTATTGCAGACAGATGCAACAAACATTAATTACTCCAAGTTATTATTTTTTTGCCAAAATAAACTCTTATTACGATTCCAAGTACACACTGACCAGTGGAAGCTATGAATATTAACATTAACAGAGTTGGATAAAAATGTTTAATATGTAAAGCACACATATTTTGAGCAATAAAATGAACAATGGTTAACAATAAAAAATGACTAAAATGAACAAAGATAAATAAAAAATGGATATTTCAGGCAATGGTAAACAATAAACTATAGTAAAAAATAAACAATAGATACAATGAACAATGGTATGTAATAAACAATAGATATAATAAATAATAATAAACTATTAATGATGATAAACTATAAACAATGAACAATGGTGAACAGAAAACAATGTAAAGCAATAAACAATGTGAAGCAATATAATGAATATAATGAAGAATGATAAATAATAATAAACAATGGTATACAATAAACAATGGATACAATGGTATACAATAAACAATAGATACAATAACAATAGATACAATAAATGATGATAAACAATAAACAATGCATACAAACCTGAGAAGGCCATCCTAGAGAAGTCAGTGGATACAGAGCAGAGGAAAACCATGTATCAAGAACATCATTATCTGAAAATAATATAACTCTCTTCAATATTGGAAATAACAAGAATTTCATAAACATCTGCCATAAAAAAAAAGCTTTATGTATTAAATTTTACGGACAATTGAAGAAAAGTAGACAAATAGAATTTTAACAACAAATAAAATAATAAGGAACAAGAGGTTAAAGTAGACAATTTTTAGAAATTTGCCAAAAATAATCGCGAATTATTGTTGCGAACACATAGTATTTTTTTAAAACATATAAATGTTTATCTTAATTTTAAATGACACAAAAGCTAATTAGGATATTTATTTTATAACAATGCTTTTCCCTATATTCAGTTTAAAAAAAACTGTTTTTACCCAGACCAGCTTCACGACATGGGCGAGGAACAAACCATAAAACTAATTAAAAAAATTCATTTAATTTACTCTTCCATATGTTATATATACTTATTTACTCTTACAATTAAAATTAAAATGGAACTAACTTTAAATTAACTAATTGTACATAAATGATTCTTAAGCAAATAATCCTAAATAAAATATATGTTAAATAACTTCCAACCAAAATAAATATTAATTTATAATAAACAACTGAAATACATTGCAATTAAGTAAAAAAAACTATTTCAAAAACAAGTTACCACACTAGAAACATATTTCTCAAATTTATTCAGTAGAAAAAAAATGCATTAATTAACAAGTTTGGTTATTATTATAGAAAATAATTTGAGAAATCAATATGCAATGCCAGACAAGAGGCATAAAAAATTACAAAAACTATTCATGTAATATTTATTACAAAGTTATTGATTGCAACTACATTTTGCCTATCTCAGTATCATATAATAGCGTTCAAACAGCATGTGGTAAATAGCTACAAAGGTAGAATTTAAGAAAATAAACGAATAAAATTTTCTATGGACCAGTGACAAAAAGTTACTGGTACAAATCTTTATAGCAAAATTACCCTGTATCATTATAAAAATTACAATAAAATAATAATATAAAAATAACTTTACCTTGAACAGCTTCAAGTGAAAGACTTTCTAAGTTGTATTTCTGGCTAGCTTTCTGAATAGCTTCATTTTTATCAGTCGCTGCCACCCAATACACTTTTTCCTAAGATTCACAAAATAAAATTCATGAGCTCAAAATCAATTCAGAAATTAAACTTATATACACTGAGTGGCCAAATTATTATGACCGCCCCTTCAGTACGCTGTTGGGTCACCTTTTGCGCGTATTACTGCCTTAATTCGTCTGGGCATGGATTCTATGAGATGTTGGTAGGTGGTAGAAGATATGCCAGACCATGCTCGCTGAACTGCACTTGCCAATTCCTGCAAATTTGATGGTACTGGATCCATCTGTCTGAGCACCCGTTCAATTTCATCCCACAAATTCTCAATTGGATTGAGATCTAGGGATTGTGCTGGCCAACGAAGCAAGTTAAATTCTCCGTCATGCTCTTCGAACCATCTGAGGACAATGCCAGCTTTATGACAAGGAGCGTTGTCCTGCTGGAAGCATCCATCCCCGCCAGAGTGCACCATTGACATAAACGGATGTACTTGATCTGCGATGATACTTAAATACCCTTGGGCACTTAGGCGTTGTGGTACAGGAATTAAAGGACCCATACAATACCAAGAGAACATTCCCCATACCACAACGTTGCCACCACCAGCTTGAAGTGTCGTGGCAATGCAGTTGGGGTCCATGCTTTAGTGCTGTTTTCTCCATATTCTCATCCTGCCACCTGCGCGATGCATTTGAAATCGTGATTCATCGGACCACATGACCCTCTTCCAGTCATCTACTGTCGAATGTTTGTGCTCATTTGCAAATTGGAGACGTCTGCGCTTATTTAAAGCAGGCAGTAGAGGCTTACGAACAGGTTGTCTACTTCCATACCCTTTACGGCGCAATGTGCGTCGAACAGTCCGTTCAGAGACGTTCACAGTTGCTCCTTGATTAACATCACTTGCGATTTGTTGCACTGATGCTCTCCTGTTGTGCTGCACACCCTTGCCGGCCTTCTCTCTGATCGAGAATTCAGTACCATGTGACGACCACAAGTCTGACGTTGAGACCCGGTTTTTTGCTTGATTGTCCATTCCTTGTACACATTAACAACTGCTACTCTGGAACACTTCACAAGTGCAGCCGTTTTGCTGATACTCGTTCCGACACATCTCGCAACCACAATCATTCCACGTTGAAATTCAGTTAAATCACTTTTCTTTCCCATGTCTGAGCAAGCAACACAGTATAACAGATGACTCACTTGTCCAGCATTCCCGTGTTATAGTGCTCTTGCCCTCCAGCGGCATCGCTGTGACGCAATAACTTATTTGCATAAAACTCTGAGGTGGTCATAATAATTTGGTCACTCAGTGTATATTCCAACTGTCACGCTCTAAAAAATTGTGAGATACATTTTAACTGTGCATTATTCAAATATAAAAGCTTATTGGGTTGATAGTAAGATGAAATGAAAAAACTAAGAATTTGTTTTCAAAACTTTTAGCCATCAGCATTTTTGAAACAAATGATGGTAATTCTTTTAATGGGCATTAAAAATAATACCATTTTTAAAAACTAAACATACTATCAGAAAAAATTCAAAATCCAAAGATACAGAGTGGCAACAAATATTTTGAAAATAAATTCCCTGATTTTATTCAGACTAATGTGAGGAAACTTTTCCTGATTTTTGTAACTTTTGTTACAAAATTTATCATTAATATTTTAGTTCTGTCTTATTTGTGTACTATGCACACAAAAAAGGGAACACATTGAATAGATTTTGATCTAAAAGAACGGATTTCACATACTAAGACTCAATTTTGAAGGTTTGAGGACCTAACCATTAAATATGCTAATTAATTTGTGCCAACAACATTTTCAGTTACAACTCAAAATGTAAGGAGTAGCTGAAATTTTTTATTTTATTTATAACTGTCGTTGCACAGCCGACCCAATTTTGGGTTTACAACTACTAATATACAATTCCGTAGTCTTGTAATTTTAAACCAAACCCAGAATACAAGAGAACTCCTGTAACAAGCATTGGTAGAAATTTGCCTTTGTGAAGGACTTTTTTGATGGAACCAACCAGCATTTGTGTTACATGAAGAGGAAAACCACGAAAATCTCCCTTGGTAAACCTGACGGAAAGGGGACTCTAACCCAAGATCCCGATACTACTGAGGATATTTTATGTCAAAATTGTGGTCAGGGTGAGCAGGGTGCAGAATTCGCATCAATCAGCCATCACTGGGACTAGAATCTGGTTAACCTTATTGGAAGGCGAATGCTCTATCCCCTGAGCATCCACCGGTCAGTAGTAGTAGCTGCGATTTGGAAAATATGGTCCCAATAGTTTGATCAGGAGAGCAGTCAAAAGCTTGGTTCCTTTAATGTTAATTTTACCTTTTGTGTATTTCGCCAGATCTTTTGAACTTTTTAAGGGGGTCAAAATATTTTGGCCCCCTTAAAAAGAAAAATTATAAAATACATTTATCCAGAGATTGTTTGTTGTTCCACTGTTTGTCTATTCATACAAAAAATAATTTTTACAATTCAATTTTTTAATTAGTCTATTTAGCAGTAGTAGAAAAAATTTTGAGTTGCAAGATACATACATTTGCATCGTTTAAAGAATATATTTTTAAATGGTTAAATACAAAATTTTAATCCAATCAATTGAATAATTTCTAGGTCACTCACTTCTGAAAAAGTTGTACAGTAAAAAATTTGATTTTTTGAAAACTATTCAAGCAATTTTTCTTCCTTTTGCTTTTTTGCACACTATACATAGAATAAATTTCAAAACACTTTCATCCATTAAATTTAAAATTAAAATTTTTTTAAAATAAAAATTATTAAAAAAATAAAGTAAACAGACGTATTGTGAGAAAAATTTTTCCTAATTTCCATTTTCTGTAGTAACCTCGAATAGGCACTTGATATGGGCCTCAGAAACAGTTTTGTGAATTAAAAACTTTTTAAAGGCTTTAATGACAACCCAGAAAAATATTTAATTTTTCAAAATTAAGATGCACAATTATAAAATTATCACAGTTAATCTTGATAACTGGAAGAAAAAGCATGTCATTTTGAAATTATTTTTAATTGAAATAATAATATTAATTTAAACAATTATTGACAGTTATGATTCAGTCAAATATGACAATTAAAACTTTCACAGCAACAGATGTTTTTTTAAAAAATAGTTTTAAAAACAATATTACTTCAGGATTGCTTTTTGGAGATACTTTATACGCAGGGATTTGATGACCCCACCAGAGTTGTCTAGATATACACCAGTCTCTAAAAAGGAACATAAATATATTAATTTTACAGTTCAAGGGTGATGAGCAATATAACAACAAGCCAAATTTTCAAATTGCTATGGACATTTTAGGTTAAAAAAACACCATGTGGTGCTTTGCATTGTGCTCTTATCATGTAAACTTGCAAAATACCTAACTGAAAATAGAATATTAAGAACTGTCTGATGAAAGATTTCCCCTTTGTATTAAATGTGGATTATATCTTTATATTGCCCTGACCCTCAAATTTAAATAAAAAATTGTAACAATAAAAATTATTGTTATTATTTTAGTTGTGAAGTTTATTTATGCTAGAAAAATGCAGGTAAATGTTTTATATTTATCAATCAAAGCTTTATCAGAGTCATGGTGGCTCAGGGGACAGAGCCTTCGAATGAAGTGAACCAGGTTCAAATCCCAGAGATGACTGATCAATACAAATTCTGCACCCAGCTCGCGCCAACCACAGTGCGGATGCAAAATATCATCAGTTCTATGCAGATCATGGGTTAGAGTCCCCTTGCTCTTGGGCTAACCATGGGAAGTCTTTGTGGATTTAATCTCCATAAAAATCAAATACGGGCTAGTCTCATCAAAAATTCTTCAACAAAGGCAGGTTTGTCCCAATACTTGATCTAAGAGTTCTCTTCTCTTCTGGATGGGTTCAAATTTACATGGTTACTGAGTTGAACATTAGTAGTTGTAAACCCAAAATTGGATTGACTGTTCAGCAATGGTTATAAAAAAAGCTTTATCAAGTTATAGTTTAAATTGCATAGTTCATTCATTTTAAAGAAATGGAAGCATGTAATTTTGTGTTCTAATACAGTTATTCAATTAAATTTATATATAATCATTTAAATAAAATCAAATATGCTTTTTTTTATGATAAACATATTCTCCACACAATTTTATAAAAAAATTTTGTTATTATTTAACTAAATTTACATTTTCTTCAGCATTTTTTTAGCATGATTTAAACATGTTAATTATTTTTTTGACTCATACTTATGTTTCCTACAATAGAACAAAATGTTTCATAACTTACTTAAGATTTTTAAACCATTCATTCCAAACTTTCTCTTGATGTTCAGGAACAAAATTTAACTTTCCATCCTTAACAAACTAAAAAAAAATAAACATAAGAACGTTGAATGGGAAATAAATGTTTAAGTAAGAACAAAGAGTATATTTCAAAGAGTTGTATAAAAATTTAATTAACTTGTAAATGTCAATATCAAAATTTATTTTTCATTTATTAAATATTTTAACTGCTTCTCAGTAACCAAATTTCACAATGATTGGCAATGTAAGAGTGTTAACAAAAAGTTAAAAATCGATGAAAAACTTATCTAATGACAACAGATTTGATAGCATAGTTGAAGTGAAAGTAACAATTATTCTAGGAAGTAAAATAAAACAGCTGTCGAAACTAAAACACAATTAACTAAACTATTATAATTGTTACTTTTTTGGTAATTTGAAGTGTAAAGCGCTACTTATTTATCTTTTAAAAAAAAATAGTGTAGTGCAATACAAAAATAAGCACTAATTTAAAGCTGGAAAAATTTTTTAAGGTTTGTTTAGTAAAGAAACAAGTTATAACATAATAATTTTTTTAAAATCTGATTGGTGCATATCTCATGCAAGTCGGTCATTGGACGTAAATGTTTCCATTACTGAGCATTTCACATTTAATCTAGCCATAATGAACACTTACAAAAAAATAAGGTGTGTTTGAGGTTATTATGAGGTTGACAGATGTAAAAAAATACACTTGAGGTAGAAAATAGGGACACATTTTGCATTAAAAATAACCTCATTAATAAACCTCCATTTCAACCTCATTTACACCACATAAAACCATCCTCACATATAACTCAGCAATACTTTTAGTTGAGATTGGGTGAAATTATTCACACCTCAAGCATACCTATTCTCTTGAAGTGTAGAAAAAAATAGCCTGTACAGCTCAAAAATAACCTCTCCAAGCTGGTTGCTCTAAAATAGATTACCATCAACCTCAAGTGTGAAGAAAACAACTTCTACACTTTGATTATACATCTTGGGAGGTTGATCTTTTATGTTGATTTTGAAGTCAACTTCAAATAAATCTCAAAGTAGCCTTGACACCTCAAAACAACCTCAAAAACACCTAAAATTTTTGTAAGGGAATCTTTCAAGGTCAGGGTTAAAGGAAATGGAGGAGGCCGAGGAAGAAATGGGTAGATGAGGTTGCAAGAGACCTCAAGACCTTGAAAATAAGGTTCCATTGAGCAAGACATTCGGCTATGAAATAGAATTCTTGCGGCCATAGCCCAACACATTCTGTAGTACAGGGAGTACATAATTATCAAGGTTAACTAAAAATAATAGTTAATAGATAAGGTTGTGCTCTTCCCATGATAATTCTTGCAACTAACCGACAGCCTGTATTATGACATCGCAATTGGAATTTTCTCTATTCGCTGTAACATTCTAGGCAGTCATTATAATATTTAAATTATTTAAATACAACTTCCACTAATGATTTTTACTACGGCTACTCTTTATATATATAATATTCAGGCAGTATCTGAATTAAATATTTATATAATGACTAAATAATAGATTTTAAATGTGTTTATTTATTTCATTAACAAATTTCATTTTCATTAAACTCTTAAAAATAGAAATTTAGAATATTTAAGAATGCATATTCAATTGTAAAACTATTTAAATGAAATTTCATATTTTGACTAATAAAAATGGCATGTATTATGTTGTGATAAATATATGAACAGATCCCAATAACGTACTTTAAAAATGATTTTTCAGTTCAGAGATAGAAAAGAAAATTGGATGTTTCAAAAAGAATTAAAACAAACTTTAAAACGATTCAAAGATTTGCACATAACCTTTGATACAAATTGTAAGATAACAGGAAATTATTCAAATGTTTTTTTTTTCTTTCATGAATGAAGTTTGACAATTAGACCTAAAGTTACAAAAAATAAACATTAGAAGTAGAAATAATTTTTGTGTTAAAATTATTATATAAAAATAGCAATGCTAAATTAACCTTATCCAATTAAAAAAATACAACTGTGTGATTTTCATTTATCATTCACTGAGGGATATTTACGCAGAATTGGAATTAAAAAATCAAACTAAAATTTAATATAAGTAATAAGCTGCACATATTTTTGTGCATAATGAATATTAGTTTTTCTGTTCATGTTATCGCAACTTTTTTTTTCTCTTTGAAAGTTAAAAAATTAATTGACATTTTAAAAATTATCTTAAACTTGTTTGTTCCTGATTTTTTTTCCCTGTACCACTTGGTTCTATTTGATTCGTTTACATTATTTGAAACATAACTTTTGACTTGGAATAACATCTAGCTTCAATTGCTTTTCAGGACGCGAATGGGTAACCTAAAAATTCCCCTCAAAGTCTCTCACAAAATCTTTTTTACTAAAATGCTCGGAGCATAATTTTTTTTAAAAAACGTTGTTGAACAGCTGACCCAATGTTTTGGGTTTTACGACTACAAATCAACTCCATAGCCTTATAATTTTGAACCCAATCCACAAGACAAGGGAAATTCTGGATCAAGTAGTGGGAGAAATTTGCCTTCGTGTAGGACTTTTTGATGGAACTAGCCTGCATTTGCGCAACATGGAGAGGAAAACCACAAAAGCCTCCCACGGTTAACCTGACAGCCGCCTACCACTGAGGATATTTTACTCCAGCACTGTGGTTCGTGTGCACCTGGTGCAGGGTTCGTATCGACCAGCCATTGCTGGGATTCAAACCCGATTTATCTCATTGGGAGGCAAGAACTCTATCCCCTGAGCCACAACGTCTCAGAAAACTACATTTATAATAAATTAATTGTAGTTGAAATTCACTACAAACAAATGTACTTTTTCTAACCTTTAACCTAATTTCGATTAGTAGTCATAATCCTAAATTACAAGAGCACGCCAATACTTAGATACTGGTGCAAATTAAACAACAAAACCAGTTTATATTAAAATACTTGAAGGATTGATGAATTTGGATAAACAAAATGTTTTTTAGAAGAAACACATACAAACCTCAAGAGCTTTCCTTCCCATTTCGGAGCAGTCCAGATACCACTGCTCTTTCAGCCTTGGCTCTACAATATCTCCAGTTCTACTACAAAATGGTATCATAGTAGTGTGAGCTTTTGCTTCTTGGTACAAACCTTTAGCCAAAAGACTTTTACGAAGCAGTTCTCGTACTACCAAACGATGTTTACCCTAAATAAAAATGAGTTATTTATTCAACAAAAATTTACATATCAGTAAAACATATAATTTTAAAAATGTTTTGAAATTCACAATTACTTCGTAAGGCATATTTTTATTTTTTGCATATATTTTATGAAGTTTTACTCTACATGTAAGAAGACAGAAGTCCTTTTATAATAAAATTTGCATGTTTTAGAGAACAAAAATATCGACTACACTAATTTGGTACTTGCACTTCAAGAAGAAAAAGACCTCTCATACCCACACAAGGGACCGATGATGTCAGCGCCAGCTAATCTTTATCAGCAAAATGGCATATCAAAGTTGGGCTAAGTTTATCTGCATGAGTTAGAATGCTAATGAACGATGAGTTAATTAAATACAGAGGTGTATGGCAATATCGAATTAGTTGAAATATAATTTTTCTTATATAATATAATTTATTATATAAGAAATATAATATAATTTACTTTTTGTACTTAACTTAGATTTATTATTTATGTATTTTATTGTAACCGTGATATATTTTTGTTTTGTGTACCTGGCAACTTTGATGCTTTATTAGTTTGTTTATGTTCCACATGACTTCATGACTATCTTTGTGTTAAATCTCTGTGTAAATATAGAGTGAAAAAATTGAAATCTTTGAGAAAGAATCTTTGTGAAAGAATTCAGAATGTGTCACTTAAGAGAATGGATACTTGACGGGCTTGGCTTACTCGAAATAGAATGGAAAGAACATTTGCTAGCGTAAACAAATGCCACATTTCAACAACAACCAGGATCGAGATACCCGCACTACGTCATTTGCAGGTATGTCATTGTCCATTTCAGAAGAAGCTTACTTCCCACCTTTGTGATCAAACAAAATACACCAGTGAGAAAGGCAAAACCCATACTTATTAGCCCTGCTATTATGATGATAGGAATACCAACTCCTACTTCAGTTTTGTGATACCATCTATGATGAGCGCCTAACCAGTGTCGGAAATCATACACAAAAAATTATTTCCAACTGTAGACGATACAGGAAATGTAGCACAAAGGACCCACTACATGTGTAATGCATCCCTGTGCAGTGCATTCACGGCAAATAATCACCATTAAATTCAATTTTCAAAATGATCGTAAATGATTGTGTAAGAATTATGCTCCCCAATATAACATAATAAAAGTTTCCTTATGCTATGTATGTTGGCAATGTCCTGTTATCTTTCCTTATGTTATGTTGGCAACATAAGTTTCCTGAAACGCTATTGTTTAATTTTATTGCCTAATTAAACATAAAGAACTGGAAGAAATTCGAAACAGAAACCAATAGCAAACGAAAAAGTTAATTAGAATAAATGAAGAAAACTCCTTGAACAATTAACATAGTTGTTTAGCACAAAAAAATCTGATAATTAGATCAGAAGTTAACTGGGGTAATTATCATTATTATTATTTTACTGATAGAACACAAACTTTACCTTAAAATTTTCGATGTCTGCACTAACAGTACCATTGTCTTCAAAAACATCTGTAAATTTTAATTTGTGCTTAAGGCCTAAATCAAAGTCTTGAAAATCATGAGCTGGCGTTACTTTCATCACACCTAAACAAAAAATAGTCATCAGTTTTAAATCATCATTACAAAATTTCTTTTATTCATGTTACATTCATACACTTAGTGAAATAAAATAAAAATCAGTCTAAGAATATACAGAAGCATTTAGAAACTGACAAGATTTAAATCACTTGATTGTTTTTAAAAAAATAATTGATTTGACTTTATTGGTTTTTTTAATTGATTTAAATAAATCATAAAGTCAAAAAGATTTTTATACAGTGTTAATTATAAATATATTCTTTAGACTGCGATTTTTTTTAAAATCTGATTTCATTGAAAATAAGAGATTTTATCCAAAAAAATAATGAAAGGAAAATGCATATAAATTATTATGTTTGAAAATTGACTAATAAAAGATAGAAAGGCTAAAAGTAGATAAGATTGGCATGAAACTTATAAATTAGAATTTTCCATTAACTATCTGTAACTAATTTGCTAATAAGAAACATCTTATTTATGTAACAACTATAACCATTTATTTTATTTTCAATTACGAAAGACTTCTTTTAAAACTTAGTAAATATGTAGTTAGAGTATATCAATAATAAAGAAAAGCTTGTTCTATTTAGAGAAGCTTAAATTAATTTCAATAATTGAATAATAATTTTCAATAATTGAATAATAGTTGTACAAATTTTAGTTAGAAATATTACTATTTTAGCTTTATAGTATTGTTTTTAAATAATAATAAGTACTGTTAATACATTTTATCAGATGATTTGGCTGGCAAATGTAATAAAGTAAAATAAAAATAAAATGTAATTGATATCAACGAAAATTCGATTTGAATCATGTGAATCCGATTTTATTATATATATTTTTAAAAAAGTCATGACTTTTGCGAACCCTGGAAAACATTTTTTTTAAATTGATATCCTCCATATTTAAAGATTTAGCAATGTAAATTAATATTCTATATAAAGTAATTATATTAATTTTCTATGCAATGTAAATTAATGCTCGTTGAGCTGATACATTGAGTTGAAATTTTTTCAGGAAGTTGATTGAAAAATAACTGAGTAATATCAACATAATTATAATGAATATTAGTTAATAAAATATTAATAATTGTAATGAGAAGTTTAAAAATTCGTTTTATAGCAGAGTGTCCATAATAGCACATAATAAGTAATTATGATAAAATTACTGAATTTTAATTAAAAGTTGTGACTTTTTCATTAAATTCATAAAATATGCAGTGAATATTTATGTAACAACAGCATATCCAATAACGGAGAGGGATTGCTGGGACAACTGAACTTTTAATGTGACCATTTTGAAGGAATGTAACTGAATTTTATCAATGAAACTCAAGTTTTATTCCTCAAAATGAACATGATCAAACGCTTGTTGGCACTAACATTAGACTTCAAATAATTACATAGAAAGAAGTCTTACAATATTAAAATGCATAATTCTAGACAACCAATTTTATTCACGGAAGGGGAAAACAAACTGCCAGGAAATGACTCAGAAAAAGTATTTTCTTTTCCTTAGTTATTCTTTTTTTAATAACGAATTATTAGCTGACGCTATGTTTTGTTTTCTCTGAAAATACCTTACGGCAAAAATTGCACAAAACTTAAAACTTGTGAAAAATACTTAGGGCGCCTTATATTTATTGTATGTAATGGTCAATCTAATTAAAAAAAAATTTCAAAAATAAATATTATTACTTATGCAAGCATCCTGGGCTTTCCGCCAACCCCCTTACATTTCCTTCTAATCTTACTTCTTTTCTTATCTCGTTTCAGATTGCTCCTCTACCCTACTTGTAAAACCAGTGTTTGTTCTACACAATCTCTGAGAATCGATGTTCACCGCCAATTTATCCCATCATGTGGATATTCACAGTAATGAGGTAGCAAAAAGATTGGAAAAACAGTCACTTGTTCCTTACTTACTTATAGGAAACTCTGCTCCATTGAAGGATCCAAGCTCCATCTATTGTAGCATATACCACATACATACCGCTGGTATCATAGGACATCTACTGGTACCCTGCTGGACATAAAATGAAGAACCCAGACTACTTTGGCCAAATTTGCAAGTGGCCATCTCAAGTGCCTTACTTTTGAAGGAGGCAGAAAGATCTTCCCTACTTGCAAAAAATGCTGCATTCAACAAGCATCGCCGGTACATATTCTGGTTTGCCTTGAACTTTCTAAGGTGGATCTTACATCAGATCCCCTTTTTGTTGCGGATTTTCTTGCCTTCAATGGTGTCCTGGAACTTATCTAATATATGTCAGATTATGAGGATCAGCAACAACAACTTGTTAACCACTTTGCATATGCTTGCTTAGCTACTTTTCGATTGTTACTTTGTGCTTAGACACTTTTCAGTGCCGCTTGGTCATAGAACATAATCTATGGTATGTCCATTTTTGTATTTTTACTTGTGCTTTGTTCTTACTCTGTAGTACAAAGTATAGCCTATCTTTATTTAGATAGTACTAATTTGTTTTAAATAAAATGAACCTTGTAAAGGTATAGAACAAGAGATTTTTGTTACTTACCAGTGCCAAATTCCTTATTAATACTTTCATCCGCTATAATTGGTAAATTCTCCTCAGTGTAGGGATGTCTTATAAATTTTCCAATTAAATGAGAATATCTTTTATCATCAGGATTTACAGCAATAGCGGAGTCCCCTAGCATTGTTTCTAATCTTGTGGTTGCAATCAGTATTTTTTCATCTTTGAAAAAAAAAAATTTAAAGAAAAATCAATTATTCAGTTATTAATTACTCAGTTATTAATAATTAACTAACTTCTAACTAGGTTATTTATGAATAAAAAATACTTCAAATTTTAAATATGCAGTAAAACCTTGATTATTCTAATTAATTAAAATAATTGATAAAGATAACACACTTAAAGAAGACATTTAAGACTGAAGTACACAATCAACAAGCACATAAAGATTGGTTTCATAAAAGTCATTAGATTTCCTAATAAAATAAGCCAAGAAAAACTGTTTTTTATTGAGAATCACCAGCTTAAAGATTAAAAGAAAGCAGGAACTAATACACTGAGAATTCGGGCCTTAAAAAAATTTACAAAAGAAATAAATAAATAAAAAAAAAATTAAAAAAACTTTGCTGTTTTGTTTTAACTATCAGAATTTTAAATTATTTATTATTGAAATTTGAGTTTTCAATAATTTATTAGTTATTTCATTAGCAAGGCACTGTGGATTTCTTTGTATCTTTTTAGGAATTCTTTTAATGCGCATTTTTGTATGAACTAATCATGGGCGACCATACCTGGGTCAATCTTTACAGCTATTAGTATCCAAAAATCGATTTATAGTTATATACATAAATATTCTAGTACACCCAAGAGATTCTACCTGCAGAAAATCTGCGATCGAAAAGCTGTTTAGTTATCAACCTTTTCGATTCCGTTTTTTAATTTATTTTAAATGTTTCGCTTCATGCAAAAATCGTGTGCACTTATAGAAAATGCTAACCATAAGAAAAGTGAGAAATTGTTTTACCAAATGATTAAAATTAATTCCTATTTTTTGGAGTGTTACAGTATTTAGTAGCCACCCTGTAGTTTCCAATACTTGAGAGGGTGTTAAACTAGAGAAGAAACTTTTCATAACGAGTTCAATTTCATTTCATAAGAATTTTAAAACTTATAATTTTGAGAAAAGTACTGTAAGTTCAGGTAAACTTAGAGTAAACCATGAAGTTTCAAATGATGAAAAAATGTTTTAAAAATATAGTGTGCATAATAAATTGCAAACAAATTATGGCAGAATTACTTTACTCAATATTCCTTAGTAATAATGGTATAGTTTGTTTATATTTCGATACTTTGAAGAAGAAAAAATTCAGCATTTGAAACTTTGAGGTTTAGTTCAGGTTTGACAAAACTCACTTTTTTCTTCATTTTAAATTACTAATGTAGATAAAAAATAATTTGTCATGAAGTATTTCTCCCGCTGTATAGCCTCACTCAAAGAGAAATGTTTAGAGGAATTTTACGACTTTACCACACAACAACTATAACTGCTGAAATAATCTTATTTAACTAAGATTTTAGTTTTAAACTGAAATGTTAAAACAAAACAAAAAATTCGTCATCAGAACAAAAATCAAAATTTAATTACCTGAATCCAACACAGGATAATAAAAATAATCCATTAATCCTAAGTGAATTGGATCTTTCAAACTAGGAATTCTAATTCTGGTTTTTCCTAAAACTTCAATATGATCTACCTGTTAAAATAAAAAAATATATAATGCTAGCATTCATTACTTATACTACTTTTAAACGGATATATGAAATAAAAAAGAAACTAAAAAAAAAAAAAAAAAANAAAAAAAAAAAAAAAAAAAAAAAAAAAAAAAAAAAAAAAAAACTCACTTCAATATCAGATATCACAGATTTCAGTTCACAAGACCAATTAACTAATTTTTCTTTCCTATAAATCAAATTTTCTTCAAATAATTGTATAAACACTTTATTGACAGCTCTTGAGGAATTCTAAAAATAAAGATTAAAGATGAGTTAAATATTAACAAAAAAAAGTGAAAGGCTTGGGGTAACATAGTGATAAACCACGCTTTTTTAATGTGAAGGTATTGTTTCCCGATAGGTACTTAAAAAATTCAGGATTATCCTTTAGATAAGAGCACAATACACAGAAACGTTCAATTGTTTACATGATGATTGTGGTGTTTACAACAAAAAAAACTGCATTTTGAAACTTGAAAGTGTGGCTTATTGATTATAATGCCCCAAGTCTATACATATGATAAAGATTTAGAACACAATAAATAAACAAATAAAATGAAGCCTTACTTCATCCATTGTAAAAAGGCATTTACGAAAGTCCAACGATGCTCCCAATAATTTTAACTGAGTTTCAATGTTTTTTTGGGTGCTGAAAAAAAAAACAATTCTTATAATACAAAACTTAAAATACCTTGAAGTATAAAACAAGAAGCAAATTGTTAACAAAAAAGAAAATTATGAAAAAAAATGAAAAATATTATAATGGCAGTCAAAGTTGATCGTTAGGGGGTACCAGTCCCAGAAGTCATAAAAACAAAAAACCTTTTCTATCGAGAAAAAACGACAAATGTCTAAAATTTGCTCTCTCTGTACCCCAAAGGTTTTGCAAAAAGTCCAGGAAAAGAGAATACAAAATACAAAAACAAAAGTAAAATACATAAACTAATTGCAAAAGGATTGATTTTTGATTCCTCTTATAATTAAAATATAAAATGTAGCAATAATTTGGAAGTAAAAATCATTTAAACAGAATAATAAATAAAGAAAAAAATTTTTTTTCAATTTCAATAAATAGAAGCAATAGATACACTTAACAGCAATTTGGTATAACTCTTCCAGAACAAAATTAACTATGAATTTTCATTAGGAATAAATTTTTTATTTACTCTTGTTTATATATTTAATTTTATTTATTTATTATCATTAATTTATATATTTTTCTAATGTTGTATTTTATATTATATTTGCAGTTTCAACAGACGGACAATTAATCACATCTTGTCATATTTTTAATACAACTCAAATACTAGAGATAATTTCAATATTCCTTTTCAATAGATACCGTTTTTCTGGGGTGCAAAGATTATATGATAATTGATGAGCTTAATGGAAGGTTTTAAGTAACTTTTTTGGAACAAATTGTAATTTCTCTCAAGGGAAGATAATATTCTAGTCTTGTTAAATTATGTAACATTAATACATACTCCTCTGGCATTTTATGCACTGTCATTGATCATTTCTTGACAATCAAATATTTACTGTGATATACACATGACACATTTTTGCCATTCAGCCCTTTGTGCTTGATTGTGAAATGACTTTTCATTATGTGGGACGCTTTGCATTAATTTGTTTTGCCTTAATTTCTCAAACTTTAATAAATGAGCTGCAGTGATTTGGAGGATACAACGCTCACCTCCCATGAAGAAACACAAGTTCAAATCCCAGAGAAAGCTGATCTATTCAAGTTCTGTTCCCAACTCACACTAACCACAGGGCTGACATAACAATATCCTCCTTGGTGGACATATAATGGTTTGGAATCCCTTTGCTGTCCGTGGGAGGTTTTCCTGGTTTTCTCCTCCATGTAATACAAATGCAGATTAGTTCTATATAAAGTTCTCTGATAAGGCTTGTTTGTCTCATTGCTTGACAAATGACTTTCCTTGTCTTCAGAATTGGATTCAAAATTACAAGGTTAAGTAGTTGAGCATTGATAGCTGCAAACCAAAAAATGAATCCATTGTTCAACAGTGATTGTAAAATAAAACTAAAAACTTTAGTGGATGAAGGTATTTATTGATAACAATCTTTGAGTGTTTTTATAGTAGAAGAAGGTTTCAAGTGCATCAGATGTAAACCTCTCCTTTGGCAGCAAATTAAAATGCAAAGAGTGTGAACTCTATAAAGTGAACGGTTAAAATGAGTGTTTGCGGATTTTTTTCAGTTGGAAGTTGAAGGAAATAAAAGGCAAGGCATACTCTGTATTTCCTATTGTCAACACAGATATTTTTAAGCTGATTTACTCAAACTCACAAAAATTTCCCTTAAAACCTTCAGCCCTAAATTAAATTCAAAAAAGATTTCACCTTCTGTAACTGTTAAAACATGGGGCCAGGATAGCCTGGTTGGAAAAGCGCTGGACTCTCGTTCATGAGAACGGGAGTTCGAATCCAGCCTGGCAAAAACTCCCCGCGTAGTGAATGGTGGCTGGTGCACGTTAAATCTGTCTGGTTACAAAGTCCTCCATGTTCCCATAATAAATTATACGCCTGGGGGTACTGAATTGGAAATTGTTCGTTCGCTGGCTCAAGTCAAACTCACAATCTGTGGATGAATACATGGATCCACCATAAAAACGGGTGTGGTGCATGGGCGCGGAAGAAATTGAATTCTCGACCATAGTTGGGGCCACTGGAAAACAAGAACAATCGCTCCCCCAACAACAACAACTGTTAAAATATTAATATTATGGCACTAACACCTAAGAAACAATATTTAAAATATTTCTCACACATTCTTCCAAGAGTTGATCTCTTCAATAAAGGCTTTCCTGCCGATTTCTTGCCTTGATAATTTTCTTTCAAGCAGAAGTTTCTTTTCTACTACTGTTTGAGTTGCAATTCCTCCATGGTCATATCCCGGAACCCAGAGAACTGATTCTCCTCTCATTCTGTGCCTAAAATAAAGTATGCTGTCATCAGCTACGATACACTTATATAAAAGCGAAAAAAAAGTTTAACAGAAAATTCGACTGCAGAATACTAGAAAAAAAATTAAATTAGCAAAACTTAAAAAAAAAAAAAAAAGAAAAAAGAATTTCGAAATTATCATCATATTTGGCATGGATAATTATGGCCAAAGGCCTTTCGCTAAAGATTCCTCCAGAACAATCGATTTTTTGACCTGGAGGTCAGAATTAATAATTTTGAAAACAAGAAAACCATTAGATAATTTTTAAAAAAAAGAAAAACATTTATATGTTATGAAATTTAAGAAAATACATAAAAAGCATATTTTCTGGGAGTCTTAAATTGTGATTTGGGAGACTGTAACTATCTGAGCAGTAATGTGTAAAAAATTTTAAAAAAGAAAGTAGCATAATCAGTAAAATTCAATATCATATCATGTTATCATAATCAATAAAGCTTTGATGTTTTGCCCAAGACAACACAAGTTTCACGCCTGCCAGTGGTTTTTGCATAGTGTTCCCAGTTGCTATCAAACATAATTATCAACATAAAGCGTCTCATGGGATAGACAAATCATATCCTGCAGAAGTAAAACTAATAAGCAAGACTATTTTAAATACTCTTCAGCTGTACCAGCTACAAAAAAAAAATTTATTATATACAAGAATCATCAACAATTTACTTAGCTTTTACCCAATAGAAAATACTTGAGCATATTACAGATTATTTTTAGCTGTATAACTTAAGAAGTAATGCAGTAAAAATATTTATACACATTCATTCCAAATTAATTATACAAATTTATATATTTTAACTTATAATAATTGAAGAGATGCAATAAATAAATTTGGCAGTCAATTTACCAACGAGCAATGCAGTCTTGGATGGTAACAGTCAAAGTGTGACCAATATGTAAGTTCCCAGTTACGTTTGGTGGAGGCAAAACGATAGTGTAGTCTTTCCTCTAAAATAGTAAAACATAATTTCAATTACCCAAAAAAATAATAATAATTGAGTTATATTAATTGAATTCCTCAAAAACAATCAACTATGTTCTATCTTCATTCATTAAATTTCTTTTATCAGCATAGTTTATCAATACACATATGGTCTAGAGGTGAACTCGAGCTCACTTTTAGAGGCCAAGAAACTTTCAATCCTAGCCCAAGAGGGATAATATTTTCCTTTGTGATTGATTGTTTGGCCACAAGTAAGAAAATACTATTTAAAAGTTAAACCTTGTTTTGGAATAGCTTACTCTAACCTTTGACAGTGTAAGACTATTATATATATTTGTTTGTGCAACGTAATTTTTTTCGTCCAGTTTGTTTGTTTAAATAAGATTAGATTCAGTGAGTTGGCTGCAGATTGGTGACAAGTTATTTATTTGTAAATCACTTTTATTTTCGTTTGAAACTTTGTGTTATAAGTTACTTAAGCATTATATCTCTGGATATAACCAGTTTGATATAACTTGTTAAAACAGACTAAAAAATAATATTTTCCACTCAAAAAATTTTAAAAAAAATCATTTAATTTACATCAATGATTTTATAAAAATTAAGTGATTTAAATCATGTCAATCCTGGTGTATAATAATCATTTTTTCCTAATTTTGTATATTAATAGATATTAAAATTTTAAATAGTTTTTTTTTAATTTTAAATAACATTAATAAAAAATATTAAACTACTTTTTAAAGCTTCAAACTAAAAAACTAATAAAAAATTAATACCACTCATGTTTAATCTATAAATAAATAAACACCATTTATCTAAATACTTTAATAAAATAACTATTGGGTATAAAATAATGAACTTGCTATTGCACATAACTCAAAGACACTGAGTTGTCATAAGACTGGAATTCAACCCTCAGTGGTCAAAGGTGAAGCCTGTCCAGCTTCAAATTAATGGATCAACGTGTACCGACTTGTCTAAGTAAAGACTACTTGTGCACAATGCTGACCACATTGCCTCAATAATTACTATGGTTACGAGATTGTGGAACTTAAACCATCACAATGGGTTAATGCAAAAATACTTTACTTTTTTACACTTTACGTGTAACTTAATCAAAACAGTTGAATAAAATGACATTCTACACAATTTATCACTTTAATCTCATATTAACCATCTCATCGGCTTATTTCATGAAATTTTTTTTTATATATTATGACATTTGACTATTATTCATTACAACAAGCACAGCTATATGAAGCACAATTTGTTAAAACATTAAAATTAAAGAAATAATGCGCTGCAATTGTATTAAATAATAACTAATTATTATAAACTTAATAAATTAGCATATTAATAAAATGTTTTTCACATTAGACATTAATTCATAACAGACATTAGACATTAATATATCACATAAGCAATGACTTATAGTGAATTTCAACAAAGTAAAATATAAATAATAAAAAAATGGCTTACTGTTCAGCTACAGAAGGTTTCTAGATACATTATCAATAACTTTTAAAAAAAAAACAGTAATAATAATAATAAAATTGATAAGAAAAACGCTGTCATAAATGTAAATATGAAAAGACAGAAGTTCTAAAATGAATTAATTCATCTTTGTCAAACTAGTCCCCCAGCTATGTAAAAAGAATAAAAACAACAAAAATATAAGAATTTAAATAATTTTTTCCTCTACTTAAAATAGATGAAAAATAGTATTTATATTTACCTTTGTTGCAGCACATTCAGACTCAGGGATAAATAATTGGTTTTGTTCCCACCATTCATACCAATTTTGTTCAACTTCTTTTGGATCATAAGCAGGTGGATAAGAACTTGTGAAATCTAAATAAAAATTATAAAGTTTTTATGCCTAAAACATAAACATTATATATATTCCAATCATGAACTTTCCCTATACTATGAATATAATATTTATGTCTTTCTTAAGAGTGTCAAACCAAATTACTAGTACATATATGTATATATTTTTACATACTGACGCAATTATTTTCATATATATGACTGATATTATGAGGAAATCATAAGAATAAATGAAAAATTTTAAAAGAAAAAGTTTTAGAATAACAAACTGGCTCAAGTAAACATGAATAAATATTTCTTAATCATCCCTTTACATTTAATGTAAGCTAATTTCTCACACAAAACCATTTTGAATATAGGTGTAAATTAAGTTTTCCAGCTAAATTTGTCTCCTTAAAGTAGAGAAGTAGTTACTACAATTCCAAAGTTGTTAGTAGTCACTACATTTAAATAAAAAAGTAATTGCAGTTAACTACATTTGCAACAAAGTAGTTCTGGTAAACTACAAAAATAATGTAGTTTTTCTGATCACTGAATTGATCACAGTGAATTGTCTCACCTGCATACGTGATTCATTAAGTTTAGTCCTAGACTTTGTTATTCTAGTAACACAACTTAATGTTCAAGTCTACAATATAATTAATTATGGTATAACCTTGATTAATCAAGGTTTCTCTTAACTATGCCGATAATAAAGTCTGGGTTTTTTTGTCTGAAATAGCCCTAAGAAAGACCACACTTTTTAGTTTGCTGTCCGGCTCTATTGCCCCTGAAAACACTCAACTTCCAAGAAATATTGCACTCTGAAAAGTCAACAGCGGCAAACAATGTTTCCGGTGGCCCTGTTGAACACCAGGTGCAATGTGTTATTGGACTGTACTTTTGTAACAATGTACTTTTGCAACAAAAGGTAAAAGAATATGTTAAGAAATGGTAATGTAAAATTAACAAATTAATGTATATTAAATTTAGAAAATACAATAATTTCTTGAATTGAAATTGGTGTTATTTTCGAAAATGCATCTTTTAGTTTAATTTTAAAAATAGTTCAAAAAATTCCTATTTGCTTTTTGAAATTTACCATTAGTAGTTGATTTCCTTTTTAAATTTGTTAAGATACAAAATATAACTTTATATATGTTTATTTTTATCATTTAAAAAGCGTTCTGTTGTTTTTCATTTCAAGAGATGTTAAACTTGTGAGCAAGGCGAGTTTTTATACACAGTTCATATTTACCGAGATTTCCGATATTCGAGGTACAAGCAGTTCCAATAAGTTTGGATAATTGAAGTTCTGTTTTACGATCTCCTGTTTTAATTCACATGAAGTACATTTCATATTTAGTTTATAGTAACAGTTATCTATGCTCAATTAAAAAAGAGTAATAAAGTCCAGATATATATATTTCAATTCTTTACATCATTATAACACAATCAAAATTATCTTAAGTACCTGAATTTTTCAATAACGTAAAAGAACAATGATTTGTTCTTAAACAAAGCTTTAATTGTTTTCTGAATGATTTTAAAAATATATAAATTAATACTAGAAACACTAATGCTTTAAATGCTAGAAATAAATTTAAAACTATTCTGTCAAATTTAACTGCTTACGATTTAAGCACAATATAAAGTATCCGTTATAAATTAATGACATTTTAAATAGGAATTTAATTTAAATTATCAGTAACTGTGGAAATAAAAGTGTAAACTTACAACTGAATTAGTATTTCTTTTAACAATGCTCAATTAATGGGTCAATTCAAGATTTAAATTTAGATGTGACAGAGAGAAATGAATACAACAATCACAATATATTAAATGCAATATATGCAAATAAAACTGAAGTTTGAATTTACTTTTTGATGGTGGTTTCTTTACTTCATTTTTATATTGCCCTTCAGATGAGCACTAAAAAACAAAGAAACTTTCAGAAGGGAAATAATAAAAGACAATATTAAATAACAAAGTTTTAAAAAAAAAACAGACAAAGAATAGAAACTCTTCATAACTATCTAAAACTACCTGTTTGCATCAAAAACAACAAAAAGTTCAAAATATAAGATTAAAACAAAATAAATAACAAGAAATATTTCTATAGTATGAACTAAGAACTGAACTAATTTTGATAAGAAAAATTAAATGTAATGTAAAAAAAAAAACCATAAAATTTAAAAATCATTACGAAAAAACAGATATGAAAGATCAAAGACAAGTCCAGATAAATCTTAACATACTTGTACACCACATTATAAGAATGCATGTCAATCATTTTTACTTTACTTTATAAAAAACAACTTCTTTTCACCCTACATATCATATTTTAGAATTAAAATAATTTATTTTTTTATAGAACAATGAGATAGACAGCAAAATTATAGATAGTATTCACAAAAGTAACTTTGGTATAGATTAAAATATTTATCTAATACTTAAAATTTACTAAATAGTTTTTGGAGAACAACATTCCTAAGAAATAATAAATTTTGCAAACAATATTGAAAGAGCTTGAAGCACACTAATGCATTACTTTAAAAATATATTAGATTGATTATTAAGTACATAAAACTATTTCTTTGCATTTTTCACTACATTCTATAAAGTTAATATATCATTTTTAAACTTTACGCAACTAACAAACAAACTATGCTCGAGAGACAAAACAGAAGTTATATAAAATTTATCAGTTTAGTGATAATAACGACCTATGATAATAAGAAATATAAATTAAATGTTTAAAAAAAATTACACCGAAATATATTTTTTTAATATGAGTATTTTCTACAAGTTAAAAGACTACATTGTATGTTTGTTAAATAAAAGAAACATCAGAAAGGAATTTAATATTGAAATTAATTAATAAAATTGCAAACGTCTTTTAATAAATAAAGATAATGGTGATGAGCATTTAAATATCTTACTCTGAGAGGAATAATCTGGAAAGAACTATGAAAAACGTTATTTAAACTGCATGTTAAATATTTCGAAGAAACAGATAGTCTTTTTGCAAGTCGAGCAAACACCATTGTTTCCATTTTATGAGGTAAAAATTAATTTTAAATTTCTTTCAGCCCAATGGCTTACGGTTTCACCGATCTGTTTTTGTTGACACTTTTGTTTACAATGCTGCCATTGCCATTTTTTACAAACTTAAATTGTACTTAATTATTGCGTAGTGCATTTTAGCTTTCATCGAGCAATCGCTATGATTTAAGCCTCGGAAATAAAAGTTTGTCAGTTATCTTGCATGTGGCAATGATCATTGATGCAGTATGTAAACAAAATTTTGATAGAAACGAAACCAACGTCAAATTAGAAGCTCTTGCTTAAGATTTTCTAATAAAAAATTAAAGATGCGACGTCGTGGAGCAGGTGGTGTTGGAGCGATCCATAAACAACAATTAGCTCAAGCTAGATTTAAAGATAAGGGAACCGAAATGGCTGATGATCAATTACAGCAAATGACGAAACAAATGGAAACTTTCCGATCAAACCTACAAGATTTTGCCGGAAAGTATAAAAATAAAATTAAGAAGAATCCCCAATTTCGTCAACAATTCCAAAAAATGTGTTCTGCATCAGGGGTTGATCCTTTAGCTTCCAGCAAAGGATTTTGGGCTAATATGCTAGGAGTAGGCGACTTTTACTATGAGCTTGGAGTTCAAATTGTTGAAGTTTGTCTTGCTACAAAGCATCGAAATGGTGGTATTTTAAAACTAGAAGATCTTCGAAAGTTGTTGGTTAAATCTAGAAGTGTTAAACAGGAGGAAATAGATTATGATGATCTTTTAAGAGCCATTGAAAAATTGAAGATTCTGGGTGAAGGATTCCGTACCATAGCGACAGGTTCTACTAAAGATTACATTGTTCAGTCTGTACCTGCTGAATTGAGCGGCGATCATACGAAAATCATTCAAAGAGCTAGTGATAATGGTTATGTTACATTAACCATATTGGTAGAAAACTTTACATGGGAAGAAATGAGAGCTGAAAAAGCTATCAATGATTTGATTAGAGAAGGTTTAGTATGGATTGATGAGCAATTTGAAGGAGAACCATCGTATTGGTTTCCTGGACTTCAAAAACTCTAAAAAATATGTTTCAAAATTTTTATTTTCTTTTGTTTTATTTTGAACCTAAAATTGATATCTGTAATGTCAATTTCAATACATCAATGTTACTATGTTATTGATTACATTTGATGAAGGTATTTACTTATCAGTATCTGTTTGCGACTACTAGAAGGTCAAGGTGCCATCGGAATTTTTTGCTTGCAAAACTTTTGCAAATATATGTTCAGGTTTTGTACGGGGTAACTACAACTTATACCCTTCTAATTGGTTTTCTTTTGGGATATTTTGTTTAGTTTCTTGGCGACCACTGCCCAGAAGTTCTGGAAAAGGTATAAATATGGATGCAGAAATCTTTCCCATTAGATTAAATGAAATTTCTTATAATACATTGATTTCAAGGGTGAGATTTCTGTATTGTGGTCTTGAGTTCCCACTACAATCACCAAGCCGTCAAATAAATTGCAAACTTGCAAATATTTTTTTTTTTTTTTTTGCTGTGGGATGGCTACGCATTAAACGCTTCAAAGTTGCTCTCCTTCTGGGATTTTTCTCGCAAACAGCTGCTTGGATGTTGCCAGGACATGGCGATTATCCTGTTGCAGATCATGATAGAGATATCTTCCCATTTCAGAACTCTCTGTATTAAATTTTTTTTTCTACTTTATTCTTCATAAATTTTTAATTTGTTACCAAAAAAACGTCTTAATCTATTTTTATGTGTTGTTACTTGAAAGTGTCTAAGACTATGGAGAGATTTCCATATTGGTACCTGTGCCAAAATGGTTGCCATGGTTTGGCAAAAATCAGGCAATGCTAAGGAAAAATTTTAAAAAAATTTGCAAAATGGGCTAAACTTAAAAAGTAAAACATCAAAAAGTAAATCAGTGGCACGAGTTATATATTATTGAATTGTTAAAAAATATTGTTTGAAAATCTTACATTTGTTGTCTCTCAAAATGTTACAAATGTTTGTCTCTCAAAATTCCTGACTAAAAAAGCATATAGAATTGTATCAACAAGATATTATGAGATTGAAAGACTACGCAGCTTTGATTAAGTCATATTTCAATGAAAGACGTAATATCGGTCCATTACCCATTTTAAAAGACTTTTTTAATTCTATATTTCATTTTGGGGTTTTAGCTATCTCTTCAATGCTAATACCTGGTTAAATATAGGGATGTAACGAATTGGGATTTGGCCGAATATACAATATTCAGTGGCAGAAATTGGCCAAATAGCAACATTTTTTTTTTTTTTTTTTTTGTTAAAAGAATAAAAAAAACTTTAAAATATTTTTTATACAGAAATAAGTTTAGTTATTATGGAAAAATAATCAAAACTTCTCAGTATTATTGGTGTAAAGGGTAAAAAAACATTATAGAAATGTTTAAGAATTATAGAAACATTATAGAAATGTTTTAAAATTGAAAAAAAAAAAGAAATAGAGAAAAAATAACCTCATTATTCTTAAAACAAAAAAAAAATTTAATGCTAAAAATAATATATTCCGGGAAAAAATCATCCATAAGACTTAAAAGAGGTAATGTCGATCAGAAGCGCTTTTAAAATATAATGCTATCATAAAAATGCCTTTAAAAACAAAGATTATTTACAAAAGCAAAACAGAAAGAATAAAAATTGATCTTAATTTTTGAAAGAAAATTTTAAAACTAAACATTTTAGTTTTCAATTTACTGTATTTAAAAATAAATAAATAACGATTAAAATCTATAACAAAAACCCTCTTAATTATCACTCCAAGCGTCTTAAAAAATATAAGTTTTCTTGAAAAAGAAAAAGCTAGATAGAAATCAGAGCAAAATTGTTCCTAATTTTTAAACAAAATATTTAACGCAAAAAGTCTTAATGTAAATTTTTCACACTGCTGTATTTTTAAGAAAAAGTTACCATGAAAGAAAAACGTTCATCAGAAACGCTCTTCAAGAAAGACTGTTATAATAAAAATTCTGAGAGATAGAAAAGTTAATTTTAAAAAATCAAAAGAGAAACAAAAAAAAAAATTTGTTCCGAAATATAAACCTTTTTAGAATCGCAGTTTTCTGTGTTATTAGTTATCTGTCTTACCGTACAAGAAAAAAATGATAGTTAAATTAGGTTAATATAAAATCTATTAGAAATGTTCCGTTAACATGCTTCGCTTTAGTTAAAACAGGCAAAAACGAATTTCGCTTTTCCATGCATTTCGGAACATAAGAAGTTTTAGAACTTAACAAATTAGTGTTAAAAAAATTTCTAATAATACATTGAAAAACAATGCAATTTTATACTATTCTTTATTAAATCTATATAAATTTTCTCCAAAAAAAATTTCATCAGAAATGATTTTCCAAATAATACTCTGCCGAATATTCAGCAAAAAGGCTGAATACCAAATTGTGGCCATATATTTGTTACATCCCTTAAATATGTATCAGTAAACCTTCATGTGCATAATAATTTATGATTATGAAAAAATGATGAACTGATAAATGATTTGTTAATTTTATTTAATTCCTTTAGACAATAATTAAAGATTCTTTTTCCATTCATGTTAGTAACATTCATGAAAATTTTTAACAAAATGTTAAATATCATCTGTGTTTATAAGGCACTTCATAGATATATTTTTGAAAAATCTTATTTCCCAAGGACATTACAAAACCTTCTATATTAATTAGTTACTTCAACAGGGAATTGATTACATACTTTTTTCATATATAGTTTACATAATCTGTTAATTTATTCTTTTTTAAGTTCAAAACTCCATCTATTGTTTCAAACCAGCAGCTTGTAAAAGGCATAATACTTAACTGTCTGCTAACATTCATTGTTGCATTCGGTTCATCCCTGGCGCCAGTGCTGTTTCTGTTTAAACTGTTGCAAGAGAGTGTTCATGCTTTTCATGTATTCTGAAAAATTGTCAGTTTTCTGTTATTGTTAGATGTAATAAAATATTTTATTTTCCTGATTTTAAGAATAAACCATATTTATTTATTAATCAACCAGTAGCCTATTAGTAAGCTATAAGTTGATAAGTATTAAAACAACAAAAGGATTATTAGATTTTTTTCCTTTCAAAAATTAGCTATTGTATATAGGGTGACCTGGGGTAATTCCTGATCAAAAAACGCAAACATCTATTTTGTGAAAAAACTATTCAAAATAGAATTTTAATATTTACTGGAAGTTTGACACTATATGAGATGCGTCCTATGAGAAACGAAAGTTAATTG